TTTTAAGCTATACTTAGTCTATATCTCGTATTTTACACTTCAAAAAAATCTTTTTTTCCCATTGACATAACATGGGGCACCAAATTTATACTTAGTTCATAACTCACACTTTAAATTTGGAGAATTTTTTATTTTGACCTACTTTTCGGACACCATATCTCAAAAGTGGGGCAAAATACTTTGTGACGGCAAAAGGCTAACACTATTAGCGCACTCTTGGCTACATGTATACAAAATTTCGAAGAATATAATTAATCTGTAGTGTCAGAATAGCAAAAATAAGGAAAAACTTTGAATTTGACCTAGATTTTGACCTAGGCATTTTGGTGTCCAAATTTTGAAGCTAGATGGCTTTTGAGGTCCCATTCTTTTAAAAGCTTTCATTATATTTAGCTGAACTCAGTCTATATTTCGTATTTTTCACTTCAAAAAAATCTTTTTTCCCATTGACTTAACATGGGCACCAAATTTAGCGATTTTTGAGCTTTCAAAACGCCATAACTTCCGAACCGGAAGTCCGATCCAAATTTGGTTTTCAGATTCGGAATCCTGAGAAAATATTCTATAAGACTAATATCCTAGACATTTGATTCGGAGAACTTTTTTTTGGACCTCGTTTTCGGACACTGATATCTCGAAATCGGTTTGAGATATCAAAAAACTAAATCGACCCTAGATTTCCTACTTTTTTATGAGGAACACAATGAAAAAAAACCGGATCGAAAATATTGAAGGACGACCGAGAAAATCGAAAAAAGTGACAAAGTACTGGATTTGACCTAGTTCTTGACCTTTGACCTAGATAAAAATTTGACCCAATTTCCGAGGAACTAGATACTGGACCTAAATTGACCAAATGATTGACTTTACTGAAGACCTTATGGTTATTGAGAAAACTGGTTTAGAAAAAGAAGAAGAAGAAGAATAAGAAAACTGACGAAAACAATAGACTCCAGATTTTCAATCTGGAGTCTAATAATTCATTCTAATGAAACAACATATTAATATGGATGCATTTTCAAGTGAATCCAAGCATATATAAAACAGGTATGATTGTTTGTAGTCATGTATCGGGTCTTTGTCCTCCCCCCTTCTATATCTGTACCTATATTACCTGAAACTAGTCTTGTATCAACATTAATGTTTGGAAGGGTATATGGGACCAATCATAATAAGACTCAATTAAAATTATATTTATTTAAATGTTTGCTTGAAGAACTGGGTGAAGGACCTTAATATTTACAGTCAGGCATCTCATTATACCCCCATAACCTTCCCTCAGAGAATATTCAGAATGGGGGCAGGATATGATACAAAACTATATGCAGAATATATGAAAGTCATACACTTCATGTCACATAAAAGTACACTTGAAATTCACTAGTTTTTGAATCCACCTTTTTGAATGGCCATGAAACCTAATTTATTTCTTTACCTAGCCAAAGGTGAAAACATGAACTAAAAGTATGTATAATTTGTTCTTCTATTTAAGCGTAGGCACTTTAAACTTTCTGTTTTGTAATTTAGTGTGGTCTATCAGGCAGGTTGATGATTAAGTATTTTTTAAGTGTTAAGTCTGACTTCATATTTGATATTTCTGTGTATTATCATATGGGAAGGAGGGGGGGGGCAGGTATGAATTAGTCACAGATAACAAGATATAGTTTTACTTGTGATGTGGACTTCATGTATGACACATCTAAAATCTTATTTTCACATCTATACTTTTCAAACTCACCCATGGTTTTTCATCTTGTATGAAACTCTTCCCCCCTCCCACAATACATATTTGAAATATTTATCTGCAAAAAATATAAAGTAGGGGATTGACGACAATTTTGGTCAATTCTGAACAAAATTTTGTCAAAATTTTTACTCAAAATTATTTTTCAAAACTTTATTCCATTTTCACAACTTTGCCTCAGAGATCACTGGTGAACCTTATATCAGACACTGACCTGCAGTAATGGGAAATGCCCTCTCTATTGCACTGGTGATCCACTCGATTACGCTGGTTACCAAAACGTTACCAAACGTTAACAAAATGTTGGAACATCCGGAAGGTACAATTTTCCCGTTTCCTTATTTTACACGTTGTAGGCATAATTCCCACGATATTTTTTAACACAAACGTGTATCAGTATCATATGTTTAAGAAAGTGTACATATTTGCGAACAAATAGTTCAGAAGACAACAGAATCGTCGATTTACTTCCTCACTTAAGTTACATAAACGGTTTGGTTTAAAAGTGCAGATCTTAACTGTTTTTCGAAAAACCGTTTATGTAACTTAAGTGAGGAAGTAAATCGACGATTCTGTTGTCCTCTGAGCTATTTTATCGCAAACATGTACATTTTCTAAAACATATGATACTGATGCACGTTGTGAGAAAAAACGTCGTGGGGATTCTGCCTACAACGCGTGAAATAAGGAAAAAAGAAAAATCGTGCCTTCGACGTTCCGACATTTTGTTACCAAAACGGTTCGTTTTGGTAACCAGCGTAATCGAGTGGATCACCAGTGTATTGGTAGGATAAATGGAGAATGACCCTCTATATACAACAGTAAATACCATACTACATTTCATGTAAGAGCTGTCATGTCTAGAATGTCTAGCCATTTCCATGTCATTCTAACAAAATATTTGTGAAACAGGATACCTCCATTAACAGGAGGAACAGAAACAACAAGCAACATAGGAATTAATCTTCAGCAAGTCAAGTGCTGTGATATTGCTAGATTAGATTAGAAAATATTTTTCATGTTTAATCTACAGGAAAACAACATTCTATGTTTCATCACCCTTAGCAATGTTAAATGTTTTTATTGTAATAAACACACTGTGCTTCTGTTCTCAGTTTAAGACCTCGTGTAGTGTTCTCCCTGGGATTTTCTCTCGTGCACAGCCATTAAATCTATAACTATGTGGTTTTCTGAAATCTAGATTGGGATTTTAAACTGTGTTTTTTTTAAAATTCTCACTAGGCTACAACACTGATATGATCAGTAATTCTACTCATGATCGCTGGGCTACCCCAGATATATTTGTTGTAACATTTTCTGAGAACTATGCACATTATATGTCGTAATGTATTTTGTAATGTGTATGCACCGATCTGTAGCTAGAATGTACCGACATGGCTGCGTATTTGACTGTTTTATGTAAAAAAATATTTCTGTTTCTTCTTACCTTTAAAACTTTGCTACTTTAGCTTATTTGGCTGTCACTCATTCTGCTCTTTTTTGCTTCACTGACTGTCTGTCTAACATTCTCTCACATGCTATATTTTACAGTGGCTGAAATTCAGCAAAAACCCAGCAAAAAACGATCAAGCAAAAAAGAGCCCCGTCCTATCAAAGTTCGTGTCAAATACTTGTAAAGGTATTTGTGATGATATTGCAACATAGAGGTCCAATAGGTATGGCCATGTTCACACTGTCAAAGAACTCTGATTGGTTGTTAGTGACAAGAAACTTAACTCTTTAAAATCATGACATGTCATGTCATGACAGACAAAATTATTCAAAATATTTGATGTGCAAACCTGAATAGAAAGTAAAAATTAATTTGTTGCTTTATAAGAAAAATTAAACCAAACTTCATTACAAGCTTTTTAACAAACAGCCATCCAAGAGTTGGAAGACAGTTGTAGTTCACCTAGGAGTTATCCCCTGTTATTCCCTACCTTCAGCCTACCATGATGTAACATAAGGGGCAGGATATCATATCTTTCCTCTTCACTTAATCTCCCAGAATTATGTTTATTTCCAGTTAGATTGTTGCTGCTTTTTGTTGATGTTTTTACTTAAATAATGTTTGCTTATGAATGCTTTATATGATAGTTATGTAAGCATGATAATTATGAGCTTTAACATGTACAGTCTGCATGTTTTGTGTGATGATCACGGGGCTTTAACATGTACAGTCAGGATGCTGTGCCTGATGAACATGAGGCTTTAACATGTACAGTCAGGATGCTGTGCCTGATGAACATGAGGCTTTAACATGTACAGTCAGCATGTTGTGCGTAATGAACATGAGGCTTTAACATTCACAGTCAGCATGTTGTGCATGATAAATATGAGGCTTTTACATGTACAGTCAGCATGTTATGGATGATGAACATGAGGCCTTAACATGTACAGTCATCAGCATGTTGTGCATGATAAACATGAGGCTTTAACATTCACAGTCAACATGTTGTGCATGATAAATATGAGGCTTTTACATGTGCAGTCAGCATGTTATGGATGATAAACATGAGGCTTTAACATGCACAGTCAGCATGTTATTGTATCGGTTTGGGATTGCTATGTTATCACAAATAATAGATTTTATATCCCTCATAAATGCTTAAATGAATATGCCATACAATTAAACCTGTTCAATCAGAATGTCACTGAGTTAATCAAAAGTGTTAAGATTGGCAAGTGTTCACTTTTTAAGGATTTATAACATGGGAGTCAATGGCAAATTAAAATATGGGATTAAAAAGCCTTCGTATGGAGAAATGATTAGATGGTTTAACTGTATTTCTATGTACTCAGTGCCGCTTATTACCTGATGTTGCTGTGAAATATCATCTTGTGCATTATCATGTAACTCATATCAAACATGAGATAATAGTGTTCAACTTTCCTGGTTATTTCTATCATGTGATGTCTAAAATGACAAGGTATTTGTTAAAATATGTTTTGTTCAATGGGGTTTGCTACTACGTGAAGTTGCTCTTTTCTAGTATTGGCCTTAGGATAATTGCAACATCCTGAACCGCATTGAGGATACTCTACAAATACTTTTCAACCAGGGTGTAGTATTGTCATGTTTTGTCTACTTTCATTGTTATGAATAGATCTATAAAATCAAATGATAACGAACAGGAGATAAATCACAATAAAAAACAATTCTTTGCCTAATTCTTTATCTTTTATTTATTTGGGAATTTATTCAGTATATAACATTGAAGTTATGGATCACATATACATTTTGTTCTATTGTCCTTGAATCCACATGCAGTTCTTGCAGCCTTTGACATAGATCCCAAAGGCATAATTTCATATGAGAATGGATCTTCAAAAAACATCCAACAGCGACAGCATAAATCCACGGGCGGGTCAGGGTCCTTTTGACCATAACCACACACAGTGTGTTCTTCTAAAGCATTTAAAAAGAAGGGTTACCTTCAATAAAAGAAATGGTCATTTTGAATTTTGCAAAACTCTTGGTAAGATCATTCTGATTTAGATAGCTAGTCGGTTATCTCAGAGATTTATTGAGATCTGAAAAAGTGAAGATGAAGCTCTCTTTTGAGAAGTGAAGTCAAACGAATGCCAAGGTTAAAGAAAGATTTAGCCATAACTTTTAAATTAGTAAAGTATAAAATACTATATATATAATTACTGTTGCGATCGGGATGAATGCGACGACAAGGCCCAAACCTGTCATCAACAGCAGAATTGCTTTTATTACATTGTATTCTTTGATGTTTAATATCTGACCAGTAATTTCCTCCCTTCTTATCTCTTATTTTACAATCATGTACATGTTTTGCTATTGGACTGCATTTCAAATCCCAATGCTCAGGGTTAGCAAAAACAGATATCTCATTTCTCTGTAAACCAAGGCTTAATGAGAGTTTATCGCATGCAATTTGTCTTGTTACTTCTTCTATTGGGTCACCATGAGCTGTTGCGATTCCCCAAGTATATCCTCTCCGCCACGGATGACCGAGCCACTAAAAATGAGAAATTGTAACTTATATGTCTACACTGAGTATTTTGTTTCCAATGTCACTATTAATGTATTACTCTAAGAGTGAAGGGACATTTCTTATAAATTATGTATACTTACTAAAGCAGTATTTTTTATTGTGTTTTGGAGGTGTTAGACCACATAAATAACTGTAATTATCTAACTAAATCGCATAAATCCTAAATATTACGAAAAGGGTCATCAAATTGTTCTTTTGTGTGCATACTTTGGCTAACTCACATTTCTGAAGGCTTATCAGCATCAATTGTAAACGATTATTGGGAGAGGGGTCGAGCCGCCCAAGAATGAAGTTTGTAGTATTCTTTGAAGTCATTGATTAAGGGCATTGTTTTTCCAATTCATTCCTCTTATTGTAAATGCTGCATATACTGAGTAAACATCATTTATTTGTTTGAAATTACCCTCAATTAAATGACAGAAGTCTCCAAATCTAAATATGAATCAGAAAAATCTACCTGAAAAAATATATGCATTTTTCCAACTGCTTGAAAGCCGTAAAAGTCCACAGTTTGTGTCCACTTTGTACTAGGCAAGGGGACACAGTCATACGTGATGAGGCGTGCTAGTGGCTCAGTTTCATTACACGGTTTGTATGCTAGGCCATAATTAAAAATATAACATTTTCTACCATTACATGGTGTGTATGAGTTACCTTCCCTAATATTACATTTTCTACGTACTGACTTTCTCTCACATGTACTATTGAGTTTATCTAAAGAATCATTATCAAAGCAGTACTTGTTGTAACTATCCGAACAAACATGTGAAAATCCAAATATTTCTTTATCTGTACCATGCTTTACTGCAATATTTTCTATTTTGTATTTAAGTAGACAGGTTAAGTGCATCTCTCGGAATATTTGGAATATGTTATCTTTTTTCATCATGACGCATTGTTTGAGCTCTTTTTGGATTATTCTTCCTGGAGTTTTTCTATCACATTCTAATTTCACAGTTGTTCTATAGTTTGGAATTTTGAAACGCGGCCTCTTTGAAATACTAATAGAACAGTCTTTATTTTCCACTATTTTGAATTGATCAGAACAAATGTAATCTGGCCAATTTTGAGGAAAGTCACTTGGTTCATGTGCTACAGCATATATTTGGTTTTCATTATCCATGCTCCTCGCATCATCTGTTTCAGGCCAAAATGTCTTACATGTTACCCGGAGGTTTAGGTAATTGGTGAATATTTCTCCCAATATATCCCACTTTGGTTCCTTTGGTGGGACACATGTGAAACTAAGATCGCGACTGTGAGAGCACCCCAAATTGTTTGTTTGATTACTACATTTTTCCAACCAAAGCTTAAAGAATCCATTTCTCCTGCCATATCCTTGCATGCTATATATAGGACCCCTGTCAGCACCATGCACATTCATTTGGAAACTTGCGTTTGCTGAGGCTGAAAATCCCAACTTCCTACATATGTAATCATTTATCTGTTGATCAGAAGGCAAATGTGATCCCCTTATATCGCCCAAATTAACCGAGCCCAAGGTGCCGCACACTTCCACTTCTAATCTGCCCTCTCTCTTAGAAGCACCACCTACCAGTCTCATCCGTCTTGTTGAGAATGGACTCGTTGAGTTACTCTTACGCTCAAAACTTTCCTTGATGATATTCAGTAGGATTAATATTAGACTAAGCTTGAAAAGCATGGTTCTTTAGTTGGGTCTTTTACATATGCTCTTACTTATCTGAAGTGTTTTAATGTATGAACATGTATTGTTTTGTGTTATTTATCCCTGCAGCTTTATCAAGCATTCATCATGCATGCATTTAACATTTCATGAATTCACAATCACACATCATGAATTGACATTTTGGATGATTCATGCAATAACTTTTATTCCTGTATCATGTTTTTGTTTCCCACTGAATGAAGTTGAAAGGGATATGATATATTGATCATGTTATATTGAAAATGATGGGTGATTTGATCAAATATGTTTTGTATATTGGGATTTCCTTGTCAATTTTTTGAAGAATATAATGCTTGACAACTTTTTTTCCAAGTCATGCACTTTCCCATGCTTTGATAATTATGTTGCTGTACTATGTAAGCTAACACCAACATGCAAATAAGTAGATAATGAAACTTTTACATTTGATCCAATTTCACCTGGTCATGGTTGTGGTATCAAATAATTCCTCTCAGACTGATTTACTGCTTTCACCTGTTAAAAGCTACAATCTAAAATGTGTGTAGGTTTACACTAAATGTTATCCTCTTGATAGTGATTTCCAGTATTTTGCCAGCTATGCCCATCTTGTGGCTAATTAACTTTTGATTAACCAAACCTGGGCTGTATACATTAGCATGTATTGGCGAGATCTTGTTAGAATTGTAGTCTCATTAATTAATTAATTATATCTTGTTTGAATTATAGTCGCATTAATTAATAATTAGAGCACACTCATATTTGCTTATCAATATTAGTGTTTGCTCATATATATCTAGGTCATATTGATGAGAGATAATAAAAATATGAAAATTATCTTTGAGATATGAGATTCCTTTTTTATGTGATCCATATTTGCAATTGCTTTTTATTGAATTTTTCAGTTTTCCACTTGGGTTCATTCTGATCCCCATTTATCTAATAAACTATAAAGCTTGTGAGAGATGGTAGAGACTCATCGTGAGATATCACAGCCTTCTCTCAGTTTCCTTCTAGAATTCTTGTGCATTGCAGAGATGGTATTAATATCAGAATGGTAGAGACTGTGCAGTCCATAATGATTTGAGCCATGATAATAAACTAGTCTTGCATACAAACCTGAAAAACCAAAGTCACATTCTTGCTTCAAGACTCTAACCCCCCTCCCCCTCCCACTATGTACTTCACCGACATAACACATTAGTTGGGGAGGTCACGAGTGCTTGAAGCTAGACTAGAAATGCCATTATATTTATTACTCTCTTAACATTGTTGTTCGCATGCTTCATCACTATATTCTAGAGGTAAGAAGCCTGAGCCTCTTTAAGGCTTGTACATTGTATGTATGACTAAATTCAAAGAAATCTGGTCTAGTTGCAAAACTCTTGCTAAGTGTGAACATCAGCAGTTCATAAATCATATATGTGTAGCTCTACATTGAAATGTTGTCACAGTGGTTGATTTAAATGTCATCATGGGCTATCTCTTATTTATATGTTGATAACATGTGATGACATATACTTGACTTGTGGAATCCACATCAAGTCATCAATGTCATTTCTCATTAAGTCAACCATTTAGATATACATGTATGTGTGACTATGTGAATGTACTTGGTGCACTACCATAGGGGTGACACTTATATGAAAGGATGGGAGTTGTGATACTGTTTTCAGCGTTAGTCCACTATCAGCAGATATCCCTTCCGATTGGTTTTATTTTACTTCTTTAAAAGACAGCTTCACCTACCTAAAGTACGAGGCTCCTATACTCAGGGTAACCGTTTGACAGTGATCTCTTAAACATTTATTTGTGAAATTTATTTATGATGCCAATTTGGGAAAGTATTTCAAAAAACATTGCTGCAAATAATTCAGGAAAATAGTTGACTTTTGGAAGCTGAAATCATTTTAAAGACACTGGGTGATAATATGGAGCTGAAAGTATGAATCACATTGCAACACCAGTGTAATATCTTCATGAGTACAAGTACCATATTTGAAACAATGGAACAACATTGAAATCAAATAATGTACTGTATATTACATAAAACCAGTAAATCAACAATATTTTGTTGTAGTAGTTTTTGGCAGGAAAGCAAAGATGTACAGTTTTGAGCAACTGTGTTTTGACATGTTTACATCAATTTACGCAGGTTGTAGCATCATTTACATTTTTAACTTCATTGTTTTGGAATTTGAGATATCTTATTCTATGGCATCCTGGCCCTCAGGTTATATGTCACACTTACACTATCGTTCACAAGAACTTTCCCATAATCTGCATAAATTACCTTGATCTAGACTATAGCCTGAAATCAGAAAAAGTATTCAGTCAGAAAATCATTATACCCAGCATATAGCACCCAGCATCTAGCATATAGCACCCAACATGTAGCACCCAGCATAGCACCAAAGATGTAGCACCCACCATAAAGTACCCAGCATTAAGTACCCAGTATGTAGCATCCAGCTTATAGCACCCAGCATAAATCACCCAGTATGTAACATCCAGCATAAATCCCCCAGTATGTAGCAGCATATATCACCACTATACTAACAATCATTACAGTATTTGGATATTTTGTTATCATAACTCAAATGAGAATTTTTAACCTAGTATAAACATACTTGTGTAAGAGAATGTTTTATGAACAATGTAGATTTACTTGTATCTAGAATACCTACTGTTGAACCAAACATAATGTTTCTATGATATACTACAAAAACATATTTTCACAAAGTTCACTGAAACATGTGTATAATAGTATTTCTTCTATGGAGTCTTGTTAAGTAGCATTGAAATCTTACTCTGGTATTTTTACGACTTGCTTCTTAAATTGCAGAATCCAATATATACCATGTACTAAGTTCCTTACTGTGCAATAATCTGAACGTTTTTATTAAAGCTAACATTTTTTCATTCTCGATTGCACAGGCTTAAGCCTGGTAAGCTATAGTTCTGTATTAAGTCCCTACCTGTTTACCTTCTTGTAGAGATTATGTGTATTATGGGAGGGAAGGGGTCATAAATGCTTAAAGTGAGACTAAAAATATATTGAATGCTCATAAAATACGAAAAAGCTGCTGTGTTTAATCTAGTAGTCAAGCAAATGAATTGAAATGGTTTCCATTTCCAACTCTCATCTGCTACATTCCTCAGCCTCCTCATTTTCTTTATAGTACATCTTGGCAATGGGTGGAGTATGATGTGCATTATACCAGACCCATATTAAAACACTACCCATTAGCCGTTATGAGGTAAACATAATCAAGCAATAAACTCAACCCATATATCAGTCATAACAAAAGAATATAATTTGTGTGAGAGATGTTTTTTTCTCCAAGGTTAACTCATTTCATCCAGTTCAAAGTACCAAAGAGCCAAAGACCTCCAGTTTATAAAACAATGTTTTTTATGTCTTTAACATCATCAGCCAAACAAGTATATATATAGGTACATGTATTCATTAGAAATGGCATTGAACAATGAGGAAATACAAATGGTGGAGTTCAGATTTTGAAACTGAACACTTCTGTTAACTATGAGGAGTTTTAGAGTCCTAGCCATACATTGTCTGGAAATAAAAATTATTTCCCATTCCTGATAAATTTGATAATTGACCTACATTACATTATAATTGCTTATGATAAAAGCTCCTGATGTTTCATTGCTTATTTTTCATTGCTCTTAATAACGACCACTCCTGTAACCATAAAGTAAAGAGAAGATGCATCTTTTTTGATGTTACCATATTAGTTAGAGGATGTAAAATAATTTTTCCCATGAATAACAAGCCTGTTTTTTCTTCTGATATCCGTTCACTTTTTCATAAAAGATAATCTTGGTATTTTGTTTAAGTATCATGTTAGCATAAAGGTCATCTCTGAAGATGCCACAGGTCTTGAGAAGTTGCAGATAAAACCTTAAGTTAATTGCATTCTTGAAGTTTGGATTACAAGAAATCATTCATATACCCATGATTCTCTGGACTCCTGCTTCATCTCTATGTAAAAAGCTTAATGCTGATTGGTCATCTATGTGTGTTTGATTTCTGGGTGCTGACCTCCTTTACTTTCTGTACTGTTTTACCTTGCCAAGTTCTAATATATCAAAATAAAGCACAAATTACCTTGAACTTTATACCTGTGGGTGGATATATGATATCTAACATATTTTAGTGTTAATTATTAATTCAATATTTGGTAATACCCTAGATTTCTAGTATTATCTTTACCCACTGAATATACTTTGTTGATGCCATTTCCCCAAAAAATGATTTTTCTTTTCTAAAAAAGAGCTTCATCTACCTTATGTACTAGGCTCTGATATTCAAAGTGTTAACGTGTTCACCACATTTCAGTTTTAGGAATCCATGAATTTGAAAATTATCAGAAAGAACTAGGTACATAGAGTATATACATGTATTGGTATATTATTATTAAGTCAAAGTGGTTTAAATAATTAGCAGCAGGCGATTTTCTCTAATTTTCTCAATTGCCCATTGTTTTGAAGAATTTTGCAATTGTTTTCATGTTGAAAAGTTAGAATTTTCAATTGCTTGTTGTTTACAACCATTTTGCCTGTTAAAAAATATTCTAATTTAATCCGTGTAAGTGTAAGCCCATCCATTAACCTTCTTAATTAAATCCGCCCAAACTCCCCCTCCCTCTATTTACATAGCTGAATCCATAAAGGGATGATCTATAGTAGCCCACAAGGAACAAGGAAGTGCTTTTCTGAGATCAGGAAAACCTCAAAAATATAACTAGACAAATGACATTGATTGTTTCAACTTTTTACATATTACCTGGAGGCGATTGGTTATAAGAAACAATGAAATGTCCTTGGGAATTGTATCAGCTCTAGTTTTAAGTGTTACTTCTCCACCCACATCCTACATGGTGGTCAATTCACTGTTTATTTGACCAAATATCAATATTTACTTTATGTTTTACCACCTGATTTTGTGTGTTTATCATGATTGCCTGCATAAATTGATGTTAGTCATAGAGCAAAGTTTACAAGTTTCAACCTTTGAAATACATTCACAGTATAATCTTTATGCTGTATGTATCTGCTATGTAAATTAAACTATCATGGAGTTGTGCTGTTCAACTGACAGAGTCCTTTAAATGCATGTAAATGACAAAATAGTTGTTGAAATCATAGAAGTATTTCAATCACAAGTGTTTTGATTCTTACAGTGATGATTCAGTTAACAAGATGTTTGCCAGAAAAAATATATTTCATGTAAATGATGTATAGATTTCGTCAACACATATCAGTTTCCATCATCTCATATCTAATATGGAACCCACATTATAGTGATTTTCCTGTGTTTTTTTCTTAACAAGGTATGAACTTTGAGAGGTGTTCATATTGAGAGGTGTTCATACAGGTTTTACTGTTATCACAATGTGTTTCTTATTCCATGGTCAACAGTATTCTAGGTGTTTACTATTCAAGGACAGGAAGAGGTCATATGAGGATGTTGCCAATCCTTTTGTGGTTTAATAGTATCCCATAAGTTGAAATAAGGATGGTTTGCCAATTAGATTATGGTATCCTCACCCAATATATTAACTTGATTAAAGATGTTCTTCTAAGTCAAGTGTTGTTATTTACTATACATGTATTTTGCATTCCAGTTGAATTCCTATTATAAAAATTCCGTATATGGTCTCTTCCATATGGTAGATGCATTTATAGAAGTCAAGGACAACATTATGTTTGTTCATATTTTCATGCAAAGGCTAAGGTAGAAAATGTGTATGTTATGGTAGGTGTATGTTGCATTAGTAAAGAAAATGTATGTGTTAAAGGTGGTATCATGGTGTGTGCCACATACATTTAGAAAATATGTATGTTAAGAACCAGGCCTCAATATAATAACATTTATGCAAACTAATTTGAATGAACCTAAACTATTTATTAATGTATTTCCAGGTGACTATGTTGACCTAAACAATGTTATACTGCGCAAGAAGCCCCGCCCCCTCACCAAACTATTCAGTGGCGACCAACCCCTAAAGCCTCATTTTAACATAAGTTTACCGGAGGATTTCCGGAGAGTTTCGGCAATTATTGATGTTGATCTTATTCCCGAGACTCATAGACGTGTTAAACTTATGAAAAATGGCACAGATAAGCCATTGGGATTTTACATCCGTGACGGTACTAGTGTACGTGTCACGCCTGAAGGATTAGAAAAAGTACCAGGGATTTTTATATCACGGTTAGTGCCGGGAGGATTGGCGGAAAGTACGGGATTGTTGGCTGTTAATGATGAAGTGTTAGAGGTGAATGGGATTGAAGTGAATGGTAAAACACTAGATCAGGTGACTGACATGATGGTTGCTAATTCCTCGAATTTGATCATTACAGTAAAGCCAGTTAATCAAAGGAACCAGCCACACAGGGGTGGGGTTGGTCGCACGTCTAATACCTCTTTAAGTTCATATCAGTCCGCACGTTCTGGAAAATCTATGGATTCAGATGAAGTGAAAGCTTATCACACGACCAATGAGGGAGAGGAAGAGGAAGATGAAGTAAAAGACTTGATAAAAACAGGGGAGGGGTCTACTAACACTTCACCCCCACCCTCTTCAAAGTCACCCAGTTCACAAAGTTCACCTTCACTAAATTCACCAACCAAATCAGAGACCAGTGATGTTGTCATTGTGACATCATCATCACCTAACAATACAGTTGTCAAGACAACTGAGACAACAGTAACAACAACAACAACAAAGAACACTGACAATGATACAAAAATTATCACTAAAACTGAAATTATAAAAAGTGATAAAAATGACAATGTGGAAGTCGAAGATAAAAAAGCATTGATTGCATTGGAAACGCCAGAAGTAAAGGAAGATAAAGAGCTGGTAACACTTTAGAACGGAATTCAAAATAATTTTCATAGATCAATATTTTAGAGACATTGTACTGTTATTTTAAGCATCAAAGAAAATTTGGCATCATTGAATAAGTTGATATTATATTTTAAATATCGGAATTCGAATTTTATGATATCATAAAATTATTGAATATATTAAAGCACAAGAAGAGAAGTACATGTATTATAAAAAATTGAATTTATGAATAATTTTATACATTTGATATTTTATCAGAAATGATTGAACGTCCTCCAATATATGAGGATTGTAAACTATTTTGTATATAAAGTAAATGTATGTATTATAATGTATTGAGGCCAATAGAATGTGGGTGTCCCCTGCACATAAGTGCATGTCAGATTAACATTGTACATGATGTAATACTAGCACCTTCATTTATTTATTAACCCTTTGTTGACCGTCTATTGAAATATGGATACACATTAATTGATGATGTCATAGAGTAAAGGCATTTATTGATGACATCATAGAATTATGGCTTTTATTGCTGACATCGCATAGTAATGGCATTTATTAATGACATTATGTAATAATAACATTATTCTGATGTTGTCGAATAATGGCATACATCTATAAGCGCATTTTAGAGAAAGACAAACAAAAACAAAAAAGTTGTTCATCAATATTAAGATATGTCAGCATTTTAGTAGATTTTGATTGTTAAAGATTTGTCCATGATAATTTTTACAAATATAATAAAAATTATAAATGAAAGTTCAAAAATAGATGGTCAATAAATGGTTAATTTACTTTCTCCTAAGAGATTGATCATTTAATTGAATGTTGAACTTGTACAAAATATGACGACAGACATTTATCAAAAACTGAATTTAACATATGTAACGAGCAATATATTTGATAGCAATACAGATAATAATATGTACATGCATATATCCATCCATACATAATGCTTGTGTAATGCACATGTACACGTGCATATGTTCATACACAATGCATTAAATGTACATGTGTAGATTCATAACAATGTGTGGATTATGTACATGCATATATTCATACAAAATGCATGAATTATATACATCCATATACATACACAGTGCATTGATTATGTACATGTATATATTCATAAAGAATGCATGAATTATATACATCCATATACATACACAGTGCATTGATTATGTACATGTATATATTCATAAAAAATGCATGAATTATATACATGCATATACATACACAGTGCATTGATTATGTACATGCATATATTCATACAAAATGCATGAATTATATACATGCATATACATACACAGTGCATTGATTATGTACCTGTATATATTCATACAAAATGCATGAGATTAACTCCAAATGCTTAACCCCTCCCTAGCCAAGAAATGTCTGCCTGGATTTTTGGCTAGTCCATTTCTAATGTCAATTTAATTCAAATGGAAATGTTTTAGTAAAATGTAAAAATTATTTTACATTCAAGATTTTATTGATATAGAATATCCATTTGAATTTATGTGTTGTACGCACTGGTTTAACAATTATGTGGATCTGTATTTTTGGGCAAGGTTTCAGTTTAGATCTTAATATAACAATTTGATCAAGGTGATTGTTTACAATAATGTTATTGAACTGTACAATTATTTTTTACAAAAGTTATATAAATATAGGCGATGTAATTGTTTTATAAATACTGTAAACCTCCTATCTTATAAGAGTCTTGAGGCCTTTCAAAAAGTGTTGTTCATCTCATATTTTCTGCTAAACATTAAGATACAGTTTCATTGTATTTTGTGTACAAGAAATAAATGCTTTATTTTGACAAGACGTCCATATTTCTTGGTACTTTTAGCAGACATTGTGACCATCTTTCTACCTCTTTGAATTTAACTACATTGAAAATTAAAACGTGGTATCATACACAGAATTTTGGAGCCTGTAAATAACAATTTTATGTTCGTAATGTTATGGGGTAGGCCAATTCAAAATTATTGTAGATTTTAATGTTTGTAAATAAAAATTCTACTTGGCTATAGACAGTCAGAACTTGCCATATTTAAATGTACCCACCCTACTTTAAATTAATTTCCAGTTTAATTGCAAAATAGGAAATAGTTTTGGAGCGGGGATTAATCGGAACTTGAAGCAAAACTATAAGATGTTGTTTGGATTCAAATCACCCCTGATTTTAAAGCATTTTTAATTACATGTACATATACTTGTATCAAGTAAAGGATAAGGAAAAATTGATGCCTGGATTTTTACAAATAGTGATACCTTTTTTTACATTAATGTTGTTCTCAATTAGGTGACTTGATAGCTGATGACTGTTGGCTGTGTTAGCAAAATGGGATATGGGGTGGGGGTAGATAGAGAGTAAATTATAGGGTAGATTGGTGTAAAATGATGGATACTAGTAACCTTATCAATGGCGATGTTCCTATATTTTTAGAATAATAAAGTTAAGCTCATGTAACAAATCTGTCCAAATATTTGCTCACATTTCAAGTAACTAGTGTCTCTAATGTTGTACAGTAAAACCTCAATGTGAACATTTTATATGTGAAAAATAAATTGTTCACAAATTCAAGGTTTACTGTATACAACCCACATAAGGTGCGCATCGCTGAATGTGAAATGATGAAATAATTTGCGTCTCTGACTTGGTATGTTAAGTAAAAAATGTTCATTCTTATTCTGATAGACAAAAGTTTCTTGCCATGTTAAGACACTTATAACACAACATATCAATGCTGTATGCTCATCTTAAAGGGTCTTGGTGGTGTAAAACTGAACTATTTTTATGCTTTTTGCATGACTTTACATGTATGAAAAACAGGCCCCTTTAAAGCAATTATGACCAATATTATTGTAAAACACAAAAACGTTTTTAACATAATGATGGAAAGATGTTCAGGAGTTTGGGATGTTTAAGTAACTTGTAGCACATCATAGCTCAAAATCACATCTATCCATTGTTATTTTCACTTTATCACTATTGTGTATCGTAAAACAGTATAAAAACAGTATAAAACAGTATAATATATCACAGTTGGAATACATGTATGTGTATTAAAGGCCCCATGCAAAGTTTGAAAAAAATATTGGAAAAAATATGCATCCAGTTTGAAATACATGCAAACCAGTATTCTGGTATTAAAGGCCTCATGCAAAGTTTGAAAATAATGCAAATAATATTTGTCACAGTTTGAAAACATGTGTGTGTATTAACAAATGTGATCTATTGATATATAACATGTACGTATTATAAATGACATACTGAATAAAGTTTAAAATGAATTATTTGACTAAAACAGAGTTTTGTTTCAAATGACTTGTACATGTACAATTAGGCTACAGATGTATTTGTTGTTTTTATTGGTTAAAGAATTTCAAGGATTATCATATGGCAAACATACGTCATTATTTGTTTTACTATGCTAAAAAGGAAATTGTGTTACAAGCAGGGAAGAAAAAAGATCACCAAAGAATTTCAAAGATGCTGAATATTTAGAACACATCAAGTCACAATCTACATTATGCTAACAGTAGACAGTAAACATAGAATCAAAGTCCATTGGCTTTTTTGTAGATTAAGAAAAAACAAAATAAAACCAAACTCGAGATAAATGAGTGTTGAATTACAATAGTGCAAATAGTTTTACAGATGAAGGAGAATCTGAATGCCCTGATTTTATGAAAATAAATGTGAACATTTTATGATTAACAGCATTTTCATATTTTTGAGATCTGCATCCTCCGAAGACAGGTCTCCAGAACTTGTACCTCATTCTTTTTGGAAAAAGGAAGGAACTGAATTTAAAGGATGGAGATCTGGAGCTGAACAGTAAAATTAGTCCACCACTAGCATACTAGATGCTGCACACAAATTCACAGATATCAGCAACTGTGAAATACATGAAGGTGGAAATTATTACTAATAAAGAGTTTCTGATGAGAAAATAATTTTTAACCAATTTGTCACTTTGATTGTCTTTCCATTAGATGCACCTTATTGTTACTGTTAAAGGTGTATGTCTAAATAAATAAATTAATTAAATGATGGAACTTTATTGGATGGTTGATATTAAATTTTACCATATATCATGCCTATTTTCTAAAAAGCCTACCATGTTCTGGCTTTATTTCAAAATAATTCCCTTATTCAATTCTGCAATAATGTCAATTCAATAATCAAATGGACATAATAAAAATGTAATGTTTTTTTTTTATCATTTATTTTTTATTATTTTTACACAAAAAAATATATATTAAATTTTATTACTACTTTTAGTAGCATTGTAAATATAGAAGAATAAATACATATTAATTTTTAGAATAATATAAATAAGAACAACAAATTTATTCTTTTTTGTAAAAATCTCACTACTAAAATCTCATCAGGAAGTCATAATTCTTCAATTACATTTAATACTCTATTCCATAATCTCATTGGTATATAATTTAAGAGAACATTTTGGATTGGAAAATCAACCAATCATGCTTAAATACACCACATCATATCATTTCTTCTTCATGTAATGTTTTTCCAGTGAAACAGAAAGATATGATGAGTATCAAAATGACAAGAACCAGGAACCTGTAGCATGACAGCACATACAGCACACATAAGGTCTGCTTTCTTACAATAGTGTATCCCATGATATTGCATGATCTAGGCATGCTCTTGGTGGTTGGGTTCTCTATGGGTTTTCTATCCCTGCAACATGTTTCTTAATTTTGGATATATCCATTCAGTTCCCCTGACTACAATTTGAGTACAATGTGAAAGGCGCAAGAACTTGCAAATCGATTGCTATCCATTTATGATTATACATGATTTTCTTTCTAAAACTCTCATTTTTATAAAAGTTCACATATTTTGTATATTTTATTCAAAAATTAACACACTTCCTCCAATGTGTGAACCCATAAGCACACCATCATAAGCGTACAATGGCTTAAGGTGAATTAAACGCCATGATTGGTATTCATAATAAGCAATAATACCCCAGTGAAGGGAATGAATCATCTGGTCTGTTTTACTCCATTGCAAGCACACAATGTAGGCACAGTGGACTCGTTACCATGGTGAACAAAACATCATCATACAACACCAATGATAAACAGCAAGTGATTGGATGGATCCATTTTACCTCCCATCTTTGTTCACTCGGCTCCCGTCGGTCAAAGTGACAACCAATTGTGCAAAGATGTATAACTCCTTCAATCTCAGACAAACAGCAAATCAATTGGATGTCTTCCTTTGATTGTTCCCTGATCAACTCGCCACTATCTCAGGTTTTCTAATTCTACCACCCTTCTTGATTTGTTCTACCGCCAATGGCACAACCTTTGCCTCTTCAACATCTTTACTCCTTTTTGCCCAATTTTTTATTGCGGTTTTAGTATTCTCGCTAATTCGGTCCACCTTTTGACTTTCAAATTTTATTTTGGCTCTGGTTTCTTGACGAGATAATTTTCGTTCTTGTTTTTTGGTTTCTTTCAACCATGTTTCGTATGATAGCTCATTCTCTTCAGCCTCTCTGGATCTGAAATCAAGCAAGAGCAATTGAAACTAAAGCTAATTATTCATAAAATATATTCAAGTTACATCATTTATTGTTTTTCATCATATTTCACATTCATAATTTGTGGCTATAAAAATAAATAACTAAAATATCAAACATATCAACATTTGTTGAAATAAAATCTCTCATAAATTGATGTTTGGTTGATTCATCTTTGATGTAGGACCCAATCAAAATTACATCTCAACAATGTCAATTTCGATTATATTAATAGATATACATTTTATGATCAAATTCAGATTTTGTTTTTTCAAAATAAATGATACTGTAAATCAAGACATTTTTGGGTGTAACTATAATTTGTTGAAAATCAGAAAAAATCTATTACCACAGAAATCTATAATGGAAGAATTCTTATTTTACAGTAATTTTTGCTTCAAATCACATTCATTTTTTTATTTATCATGTTTTATTTAATATTCAAAAAAATCACTTTCACTCATCACATCCACCTGGTTCTACTCTAACAAAGGCATGAATAAAATTACACAAAACTTTTTTGTATTAGATTTTCTCGTAATAAGGCCCTGGGCATTTAATTTAAAGTAAGGTCTAATTTTTGTTAAATTTCTCTCTTTCCCTTAATTATAAGCCCACTGGGCATTTATTTGAAAACTGAATTCTAATAGTTCAGAGATTAAATTCAGATTACATTTGCTACTTTTAAGAACTTCATATAGCAGACTAAATAGTGGTTTTGTTATAAGTGTTTTTCTCAAGCTATCTTGTTGCATACCCATAATTTCCCTCAAAATATAAAACTTATATTATGGTCATTACAAAATTACTTCAATGAGGATTTTCAATATTTAGCCCATGGGCCATATACTGAAGGAGCCTTATTATGAGAAAATCTTATATATTTTATTCATAAACCTTCCATATGAAACAGCCTATACAGGGTGGGCCAAAAAAAACCAATACCCAACTTTAAATCAGACTGAAAATAGCTATGTTCAATATGATACACTGATTTATATATCATTTTAAAGGTTATCCAATTTCGAACAATTTGGTATATAACACTATGTCATGAAATCAATATTAAAGTTTTATTATGCTTATTTGGGAGGCCGGGTCAGTATTTAAGGTATCCAAATTTTAGGGAGAAAATAGTAAATCTGCGGAATAATGTTAATTTTTTATTTATAGAATATCATTTTGTTAGGTGAATAAATGCTTGTATATTTGCATATTGTGTGACTAAACTTATTGTTTATGAATTTTAGTGTTGTTTATTATCAATAAGTACTCAAAGGGGGTCTGTTAAAAGACAATAAACGTATATGTGACGAGGATTTTATTTTCCAAAAAGACATTGCCCCGTACCATAGATCTCAAGAGACATTGGCATTCCTTTGCAAACAAGGTGTCAATTTGATTGATCTCGATGCTTGGCCACCCAACAGCCCCTATGCTACATGTAATTTGTTTGATTACGATACATGGAGCCATCTTGAGGAAATGGTACAATCAAAAGCATCCAATAAACAGCTTTGATGTGCTGAAACAGAATCCTAAAGTGCTGAAATGAATTGCAAAAGAAATCTCTCAATAATGTTATTGATAGATTGCGCTACCACTTGAAGCTTATTGTTGATGCATAGGGGAGGGGGTGGGGGTATATTGAGCAATTGTGAAAATTGTTTAAATAAATAAAGTGTAAAATGTTATTAAACAACACTGAAATTCATAAACAATAAATTTAGTCAAACAATGATGAAAATATCAGTATCCAAGCATGTATTCACCTAACAAAAGAATGATATTCATAAATAAAACATTAACATAATTCCGCAGATTTACTATTTTCTCCCTTAAATCTGGAGACCTTAAATAGTGACCCGGCCTCCCAAATAAGTATAATAAACGTTTACTATTGATTTCATGACATAGTGTTATATACCAAATTGTTTGAAATTGTATAACCTTTAAAATGGTATGTAAGTCAATGTACCATATTGAATGTAACTATTTTTATCCTGATTTGAAGTTGGGTATTGGTTTTTTTTGGCCCACCCTGTATATACATATGAACAGCCTATATATGCAAATGAAACAGCCTATATATGCATATGAAACAACCTATATAGGTATATGAAGCACTATTTGTACAATAACGTCATTTCAAAGGCCCCTTGGTCCAATATTTCACTGTTTTGCCTGCAGAAATGACGTTATTAGTATTACTACCACTGTTTATACCCAGGGCTGAAATAGCAAGACAGGCCATTAAGCGAAATTATACGCACTGAATGATATCTCATTTCCCGGGACACTCTGGGATAGTTGAGCAGTGATATGATCATGAGCGGTTTATTTGTTTTTTAGATATAGCACAATTAAACATCAGGATATGACAATGGTTGGGGTAAAAATATGTGGTTACAACGATGGAGTACAACATGCATACAAGCTCATGTCCTGATGTACACATTATTCTAAAATTTCCATTACATTATTTTGAAGCAGATGACATCACTTACATGTACAGTATAATAACTGCTTATATCCAAACTACTCTCTGGTGCCTCTTTTGAACACTTTTTTCGTCTCATATTTTATTTCTAGCTTTTTATTGAAATGCCAACCCGAGACCCTTTTGGATCGTCCAAGTGGCATTTGGATTATAAATGTTTCACTGCATTTTATTGTGATGTCATTGCGTTTAAATCAATGTAATGAAATGCTTACAGAAACGCCATTCCTGGGAAACTACAATTATGGACATGAAGACTTCTTCAAGTCCATGCTACAATGTATTCTGACTATGCATACAAGGCGTGAAATCAAAAATCGAAGTACGCTTTGATTTTTGAACTGTTCGGGTAAAAGCTGTCCAGTACATGAATAACTGGACTACAATGAACTAATCATGCTACTGATATACTGTACCTGGTCTCAGCTGTTTGGAAGGAAAAAAGCAATTAATAACAATTAGTTAATTGATAATATTTCAAAAATCAGTAAGGAACGAGGTATATTCAAAAAAATTGATTAAGGTGACATCTGGTTACATCATTCGTGTGTGCCATCTTTAACAATCAAACTTGAATGAAGCATTGAAAAGATATTTCTTCAGAAATAAATTACTTAAATCAAATTGAATATTACTTTAACCAAAAGAGTGTACAGTACATGCATTCTGAAACAAACATTGAAATCACCTTTTCTCTTTCTCCCATTTTTCATCTGCTTCTTTTTCACGCCTTTCTTTCAATTTGATGGCATCTTCTTTCTTCTTTTCTTCCAGCCAACTTTCAAACTCTTTCGTCTTTTTCTCCTCTTTTGACACAGGACTGTAAGAAATGTTAAATTCTAAATAGGCCTAAATGTCTAATTTTCTTATCAACAAGCCTTTGAAGAAAAAGTTATTAAATGTCCAAGATAACTTTACACAGGGCCTTTAAGCTCAGCTTGCTGATCAATATTATTGTCACGCCCTGTCAATGTGTCTTTCAAATGGGGGAAATTACACTGATCTTTTACCATTCAAAAGAGGATATTATATACCCCATGAAGTGACATGAAGTCTGTATACAGTAAAACTTGTATATCTGAAAACGTCTGAAATTTGAAAACCTTTCAATATGAACACTTCCTTCAAGTTCCAATTTTGTTATCTCACACTGACTTCCTTGTTAAAGAAAATGTGAACACTAAAATGTGAACACCTGCTATTCCAAACACCTTTACCAGCATCAGTGGTGTTCATATCAGATAAGTTTTAGTGTAAATGTAATATGCAATTACAAATGGAAAAAACGCATTTAAATTAAAATGAGATCGCACTTACTCTAAGAAAGTTAAACTTTTTCGGGGAGATTTTCCTGCAGCTGTAGAATCTTTGCTGGCTTTGCTCAAGTCTGTAGCTTCCCTTGAGAGCAAAAGTTCGCTACCTCGTCTTGTGTCCCGTGTCTTACCTTAAATAAACCAAGAGTTGCATCAACTCTACCATATCATACAGTTTGGTACCAAATAGTAGAATACAATGAATTCAATACAATAAAACACAATACAATGTAATGATTAAGATTGATGCAACACAATATGATACAATACAAAACAACAAAATACAGTTACATTTCAATAAAATGTAAAGTGATACAATAAAATACTATAAGTTATTGAATGATTTGAAGTGCAATATATTGTGCACAAGAAATTCTGTATTGGCATCAGACAAAGTCGACACTTTTATTTCATGAATGAAATACAATCTCTGTAGCAATACAGAAACTATTGGTACGGAGGGGACAATCTTAGTACCAATACAGATAGGTACAGCACAAGAACTAACCAATCAGAGGGCTTCATTTTACAGATCATACAATAAAACTTGATATTTACAATATGTATTATATGTTTTTGTGTGTTATGTCTACATATGCAAAAAATGCCAGTGGGGTAATTATTTCAAGAGGATAAGGACAAACAAAGTTTTGATGGCTGTTTTCAACAAGTACCATACATTATTATACATAAATGATAAAAGTCCAAATATATTGGTGGGGAGGGAGGGTTGGTGTGTAGCATTTTAGAATAAAGGGGGAGGTTTTTTGAATAAATCATCACAGAGAAAATTGGAGATATGGTTGAATTAATAGGTAAATGGGGCACTCAGATGGGACCAATTCAGATAATTAATATTCATAATTGAGGATTTTTGGCACATTACGGGTAAATGTTTGGATTAGTGGAGGGGGGGGGGGTTAATACCAATGTACCTGTCTCATATTCTGAGAACATAAATGTAGGTTTTATATTCTGATGATTTAAACCTAGAAAATATTTTTAGAAATAATTTTTCAAAAATATATGAACATGTGAGTCATGAATGATCTTCTAAGCATGGAAAATAATAACATGATGAAATAAAAAAATTAGAACAAAAGTATAAAAATTGAATAATCAAATTGAGAGAGAGTATTTTTCCAATGTTGTAAATACAATGTATATCTTTAATACATGTAATATATATGTTAAAGTCTTTCATTATTGCAAATTTCAATGGACTATATTACTAAAAACAAAAATATAGAGAGATATGAGAACTTTATGTTCATCACTTGCATTTTGTTATTTTTCAATTTCAACTTTGTGCAATGTAATTTATGCAACTGTATCAAAACTACATGCAAGGTTTTACTACCTCTGGAGTCTGTATTTGTCCCTCCTCCAACAGTGGCATTTTCTGACTCTGTTATTGTAGGCATCTTAAGGGCAGATGCCAGTGTGGTTGACCCTAAAATTACAACATAATGTGATAGACACTAGCATTACAACATAATGTGATAGACACTAGCATTAAAACATAATGTGATAGACACTAGCATTACAACATAATATACAGCATAATGTGATAGACCTGAGAATAACAAAATCTAGAATTCAGCATAATGTGGTAAACACTAGCATTACAACATAATGTGATAGAAACTAACATTACAACATAATGTGATAGACCCTAGAATTAAAACACAATGTGATAGACACTAGAATTACAACATAATGTTGTAGACCCTAGAATTACAACATAATGTGGTAGATCCTAAAATTACAACATACTGGGATAGACCTAAGAATTATAGCACGGTGTGGGAGACTCTAGAATTATGACATCTAGAATTACAACATAATGTGCCAGACTCTAGAATTACAACATAATGTGGTAGACCCTAGAATTACAATATGTAACATCATAGATCCTAGAACTACAACATAATGTGATAGCCCCTAGAACTACAACATAATGAGGTTCACCCTGGAATGACAACATAATGTTGTGGATCCTAAAATTACAACATAATGAGGTACATTCCTAAAATTACAACATAATGTGATAGACCTTAGAATTTTATTGTAATCCTAGAGTCTATCATTCTAGTCATTCTGATTTTTCAGGTATTTCTTAATTGCAAATAAGAATGAGCTCCTTTGGATAGATACGTCCATATCATTATATCATATATTTTCACCTAAGGCCTCTTTAAAGATGCTAATGACAGCATGATACCACGAGGCATTGGACAGTATCCACTAATCACCCCCCCTCTCCCTCCCACATGTTCACATACCTCTGCTCTTCTCCCGAGACAGCTGTCTTGTGGATTGTCTCTCCAGGTCTTTCACCCATTCTTCATTTTCAGCATCCAGACTATCAAATGTGGATGCTGCTGAAATGGTTCTTTCCTGTCTCTGTGGTGGCCCATGGTGAACATGCTTAGGAGCATCAAACCCAGTTCCTTGGAACTCCTGTGGCCCCATAATCTGTCAAATAAAAGTGTCATACATGATATGGTTATGGGTGAAGGATATGAGTGACTGACAAGGTTTGGAGATGGTAGTAGGGTCTTTGGGTTCTCAGAAAGGGCTCATTAGTAGTAGATAACAGACTATTTTTTCCTAGTTGTTTTTACTTAAATCCCCTCTTGGACATTTTGAAACTGTTGCCATGTTTCAATAATTTTGCAAGTTGTTTTGATTTGTGTTGCCTGTTTTGAGTAACTGCATGAAATAATTCCAACACTTTAAATATGTATATGCCCACATGTGCTCACCTGAGTTTCAAATCAATCTGATCACTTGTTTTTGAGTTATTGCTATATTTTAAAATTAATGATTACAGATGGCTGTCAACACAGACCTCCAGCATCAAGAACTAGTGGCCATAACATCACGTTTTGAGTGTGATGATATCAAAATCCAGTAGGTTTAAAACATACCTCTGACATATAAATCTGACCATGTTTGCCAGACAACCACACAGGAAATGCGGAATCAAAGTGCATGTGCGCCATCTTTGGACGCCCAATTTTCTTTCTTGACTGTTTTGCGCGTTCTTGCCATCGGAACAAGAAAAGATGGCGCTCACATCCCTTGTGACCAAAGAAATTTGAAATGTCCAAAGCTGTGTCACCGTTGATGTCCACTTCATTTATATTAGCACCTGAAAAATTAAGAAAATGTAATAATTTAATCTCTTTTCATGATAAAATACCATTTGAACACATAATGGGTTTTACAAGAAAGAACATCATCAAAAATGTCTTCTTGATTTTTTCAAATAAGTTGACTGTCACGATAGGTGCTTTTTTGAAATAGTGACCTCTGCCTTAGTTTTTATCTTTACCTTTCTCCAGCAGGAGGTCTATGATTGGTCCACTGTCTGTTGCTGCGGCAACATGTAGAGGTGTCCTACCTAAAGCTGTCTTGGCATTCACATCGGCACCTGAAACATTCATTCAAACATCACTGATATGACAGCCCATTACAGCATAGTGTAGGTAGTATGACATACTGACATCATTGGCATATTACAGTACATTTCAGTCAATGATAGGCATTTTATCCTAACATCATTCATCTTTCAAGCTGACATACTATTTGTATCAGCTTAATATGTCAAATAATACATGATTAGACATCATATATTACACATTATTCAACTTCTCCTGACAGTTTAAAGTATAATAAGTTCATTTCATTTCATTTACTTCTACAATAAATTTCAAATGACACATCTTTGTAGAGCAGCAAACCATGAAAATTCAGGAAATGTCAAATTTAAAAACTAAAAAAGTTCCCACCTGCTTCGATAAGCTTCCGGCACATCTGAACATTTCCTCTGTGTGCGGCAACAAACAATGCTACAGCAGCTCTAGTCTCGATATATGGTCCTTTATGTTTCTTGTTCATGTAGTTATAATTAGGGGTCTCATAATCTGAGTCCTTTATTACTCCTAATTTGAAAAGCTGAAAAAGTCAGATTCATTTATTGTTTTGGGTTTCATGGTGTACAATCAAAGTGTCTACATTATGGTTTTATGGAGACATTACATGCCTTTACATTTACATGTATGTCAATGTAACTTGTAAACTACATATGTCCATCAATTAATCACATGAATAAAATTATTGTATTTTGTATATTTATAATATGTTGATGAACTAACATGTCAAAGTGTCAATTATATATGGATTTGCCAACATGTCAAAGTGTCAATTATATATTGATGTACCAACATGTCAAAGTGTCAATTGTATATTGATGTACCAACATGTCAAAGTGTCAATACATATGGATGTACTAACATGTCAAAGTATCAATCATATATGGATGTACCAACATGTCAAAGTGTCAATTATATATTGATGTACCAACATGTCAAAGTGTCAATACATATGGATGTACTAACATGTCAAAGTATCAATCATATATGGATGTACCAACATGTCAAAGTGTCAATTATATATGGATGTACCAACATGTCAAAGTGTCAATCATATATGAATGTACCAACATGTCAAAGTGTCAATACATACCCAGTCAATATCATTTTGAGCCACAGCATCAACTAGTGTCGTCCACATGTGCCAGACTTTCATGTTAATAGTGGCACCGGGAACAATATCATTCTGTCTTACTTCAGTATGATCTTGTAGGTCTCCCTCATCTAAATAGTTCAAACGCTGCATATCAAAAGGTATTCCAGTGGAAAACTCAGCAAAGCCCTTCAGTTCTGATATTTTCATCTCGGAATATATCTTTTTCATTTTGAAGTTTTCTCCTGTCGTTCTCATATGGATGGTGATAGAGAATAACCTATCCTTGCTTACAATGTTGGCGTTATTGTTTAAGCCTTTGGTATTGCGCTTTGTAGCAATCATTGCTAAGCTGTTAGATGCGCAGTCTAATAAGAAACAGTGTACTGTTGAATTTATACAACGTGTATACTAGCCTAACTCTCCTAGGCTAGCATATGGTGATAAACCACTGTGATGCCAAATGCCCAGTTGATAAAATAAAAACTAAAAGTTATGGTTGCTTCAAATGGCATTTTGATATTCTATTGCCAAAATATGGTCCTCAAGTCTACATATTTATCCAAACTTTTTTTCTGTAATATTTGCTTATATTTCCATCAAATCATAATTGAAATCTGGTTGACTGACAGAAACAAGCACCTGTTATCACACTCCTCAACGTTGCGTATCTAGGCCTGCAACTGAACGAATTTTCTGAAGTTGTATAACAGTTAATCACATTATAAACGTAAATACGACAATCGTTTGTCTGTTTGTTGCACTCATTTATCTTTATTCTATAAATTTGTAAAATCTATGCATTTACTTTAACTTTTTCCTGTCAGCCATGTTGTTTACACATTCACTAGGGTAACAAAAGGGGTGTAAGGCTTCAAAAGGTACATAAAACTGACAATCTTTGCTAAATTTCGATATTAGATGATAAAGAAGTAAGTCAGTAAACTACTAAAATAAATATTTTGAAAGTTTTGAATATTTTTAAAGTGGATCTTTCTCTATTTTGAGACTTCAAAAACTATCTTTCCACCACTTCTTGATTCTTGGACTATTCCATTAACGTGAGAATGACGTCATTTCAACGTGATCTTAAGAGACTTCCGGTTGCAAAAATGGCTACTGAAATATCTGATAAGTTTTCATATTTAGGGCCACAAGACGATAATGTGATAAACTTTGGAGGGTATGTATATGTATTTTTATAGGTACAATTAGTGTGCATCGATCATATACCAAAAGGCTATCGTTAAACTTATATTTGATGCCATATTTCTGGTTTAGTTCGTATAATTGAAAATCCACGATTTTTTCTATCGTTATTGTGACGTTTTCCAAGTCAGACAATAGCTTGTATATATATTCTACGTATGGATTAATTTGTTGAATACCTAATCCAGTTATCTAGTCTTGCATATGTATTAGTCCTAATTTAATTTCTTTATCTGATTATCATGATCATGAACATCACTTGGCTAGTATGTATCCAACAGACCGAATATAATATTCGGTCTGTTATGATTGATACCCTTGGCATGGAAATCTCAGCGATATTTTGTGCACATAAATTTCTCACAAGAATGTTCACCTTGAAAATTGGTGAATATATTGAAGAGATGTTCATCTTAAACTAGAAGCAAAAATATTTGTATAAGGCGGGTACAAGTTGATATTAAATAATGAAATGTTCAGACTCACCAAAACTTCAGGATGTGTTCATAAGTAGATCGCGAAATCAATGTCAAGGACGTTTGAGTTCACGAGATCCAAACGAGATATGCAAATTTTTGAACTTTGACTTTTAACTTCAAACACATGACCACTTGATTACTACCCTTTGCATCCGTTTGACTTCACTTCTTAAAAGAGAGCTTCGTCTTCACTCTTTCAAACTAAAATAAACCTTTGAACTCACCGCGCCAATCAGTGTTCGTCGGCCAAATTTGACCGACGTTCTATATATGGTCATTCCTTCTGACGTCATCGTTGAGCCCGGAATTGACCAGTGGCATGCGCATGTTTAATTAGAACGCATTTGGCGTATGTTTGCTTAAGCTCGATGATTGGTGGAAGAAAGGTCAGTGGGTAGGTCAAAAGTGATTTATTACCCAAACTGTCAACGGTACCCGTCGTGGGGACGGGGCTACTAAACTGTAATATGGTCTCTGCTCGGCAGAGTGTAGTTTAACTACACTCTGCACGCAGGGTACTTGATTACCTCGGCCTTCTTCATGAATATTTCCGCTCTATTTACTATAAATGACGAAAATTAATCGGGATAATGATAATAAATGACTAGATCTAATAAATTCCCGCACAAATGGAATTTATCAATACGCTTCCGTAAGGTTTTTTCGTCCGCTCCACGTGTTATTTGTTTACAAATAGACTGACGTCACTGGCTAAATCTCGTTTATCGTGAGAATTGGCATTGCCAAAATGGCTTGACCTAATCAATGGCTTAATGCTACGATCCCTTTATTGTTTATCTGGCGAAGCACGTGGCTAGGGGGTGAATCAAAAATGCAACAAAACAAAACTCAGTTCGAACAAGACATAAGGTCATACTGCATTCTAATAGCATTAGCGATCTTTTTTTTATCTTAAATTAACTCCTAAAACCCTGCCCTGATTGCTCAACCACTGGGTTTATCAAGATTAGTTCCCGGATTAGTTATCTCTCTCCGTATTACTAGAAAGAGTTCACACGGAGCTTACATTGAGACGGCCCCTAATTTCTTTTGAGATGCGTAGACGCACTGCGCAGTAGGTCTATCAATGCCGGTCACAGTGACCTCGTCTATCAGAGTTCTCGCTGGGTATTTTTAATTACTCCATCAAGTAGAGAGATTAAATACACTAGATTTGAAGTTGATCCTATGAAGATAGATACCGGGCACATTAAGAACCAGTCCATCGCATATTTAAAGGTGGTTACAATGATAAACTGGATATGGAAACAAATCCACTTTCACTTTCAGTTTAATCTGATCGATAGATTACCATATTCACTTTCAATAGCGCCCAGTAATGCCCTATGGCGGATCCGGGGGGAGGGGGGGGGGGGGGGCCCGGGCCCCCCCCCCCCCCCCCCCAAGGTTGGCCCAGAAAAAAAAAGTTGGGCTCAAAAAAATTTTAGGCCAAAAAAAGTGGGCCTTTTGGTCATTATTGGGCCTTCTAAGGCCTTATTTCTTTAAATTTAGGCCAAATTTTGAAGAAAATAGGCATCAAATTTTCAAAATTTGAGCCCACTTTTCGGTTTTAGGGGCCCCAAATTTTTTTTAGTTTCTCTGACCTCAAATTTGCCCCCCCCCCCTGTTGGTTCCTGGATCCGCCACTGATGCCGTATCGTTGTCAGTCTTATTTTGAAATTCAACGTCTTCCTGTTTCGACTTTCCATACCCCATCAAATGTTAGGTTAATCAAATCACACCACCTTCGCAACTACATGTACTTGTGTACATTGAAATCTCAGGACGATTGAAAATAAGATTTATAGTGGTTATTTAGATAAAATTCAGAAGAATAATGAATATTCTTTCCTTTATTATCCCAACAAACGAAGTTCGGTAGGGATATAGTGAAGCCCTCCGTCCGTCTGTCTGTCAGTCCGTCAGCCAGTCAGTCCGTCCGTCCGTCTGTCCGGAAGATAACTCAAATACTAGTCGATGGATTTTCTTCATATTTAGTGGAAAGATGTATATTGGTGAATAGTTTTACGCAAAAAATTTTTTTTCAAGATGGCCGCCGCTATAAAAATGACGGGACTTTTTCGCAAAAATCATAAATTTTTCATTCTAAACCAAAGTAATTAATATTATTGTTTGAAATTTTGGTAGTATATTCACAACATTTATCTATTTCACATATATTCTGTGTTTTTCATCCTGACCCCCAGGGGCTGTGTATGGGGGGACAGGAAACAGAAATTTTCGCTAATTTTTAGATCTTTCTGAAGTATAGCTTTATTATACTCAAATGAAAGGCAATTAAGAGTAGATTGCAGATATTGTATTTTTTTTCTGATTCGAGCCTCGTAAAATTCAAAATGGCCGTCTTGTGTACGATTTCGCAATAATTTTTCGATCCCTTCAAAGTATGGCTATATTATACTCAAATTGAAGGAATTTTGGAGTAGATCCCAATTATGGTATTATTTTTCAGATTTGTATCTCCGAAAATTCAAAATGGCTGCCTTGCAGGAATTCGCAATTCTAAAATCTAATTTTTTCAATTTTAACCAAAGTAATGAGTATAATTGATTGGAATTCGGTAATTGATATTTTGTTCGTTGGGATTTGCTACTCCGCGGAGTTGCCGTTATCTAGTTTTTACAGTCAAAATTATGTGAACACAAAATTAACTCGACAAAATAATGGCGGGACAGAAATTTTTTTGGCCAGAGTGTTTTTAATGTCTCTGGATAAATTTGGCTACAGCGAAAAAATCCTTATTTGCCAGACTGTATACGAAAAAATAATATTGTAAATTCTTTATAAGGTAATCATTTTATCATTAAACAAACTTATTTGTAACATTTATACAACACCACATTTTACAATAGGTGGCTTACAGTCTGGATTTATTCAGACGAAGGATACAGTCTAATCACTTGGCACTAGATCTTCGGCAAAGGAGGTGTAACGTTGATGTGTGGGATCCCCGTTGGGGGGGTTTCCTCCCATATATTGGCTATATGGGGACGTGCCGCTAAAGTGGGTCACTTTTTTGCTGAAAAATCCCTTGATGTAGATCCCATTTTGAAGAAAAAAAACTACATAAGCCTACAAGCCGTTTTTTTTGTTATCTTATCTAGATATGGGTCCCATTTTGATGATAAAATACCTAGAACTGGGTCTACTTTTTGAAAAATCCAAAAACTGGGTACTGTTTTTGAAAAAAAAACCCTAGATGTGGGTCCACCTTTAGAGAAAAAAATCCCTAGATGTCGATAGATATTTTGAGTCTCAGCGCTACCCTTCTGTACAAAAATTTGAACAGTGAAAATGAGCAGTGCCATGCTTCCCTTTTTTGATAATATTTCAAAGAGTTTTAGAAAAACATATATGCAGGGATTTCACTAGAATTTCTCACAGGCCAAATAAATTAAAACAATGGGCAAAATTAATGGAAATCATAAATTTAACATTGAAAAGTCCCTAAAAACAACATTCGATTTTGTGAAAACAACCAGTGAAAATCGCCTGTTGCCTGCTGCTAATGAAACCCCTGATATGTTTTACGTATAATTTTGAAGAAAAATCAATTTTGAACATGATTAAATCATAAATATGTTTAATCTCATTTAAAAGTAAACAAAAAAGACAGATAAGAAAAAGAGGTATCAAATTGTTCTCTTCGCATGTTGCATTGTGGGTAATTATTCAAGAACACACTCCAACAAAAATATAATTTGTGGGAGAATGTTCACTTTCATTATTGACAACTATGATGAATTCCATTTTATAATATCAACATGTATGCATGTATAATCATGTTTTTATTTTGAATTACTTCTTAAATCATACATGAGGGAGAAGTACAAAATAAGATTTTTCATGGAATGTGTACAGGATGCATTTTTTCTCCAATTTTGAAAACCAAAGGGAATACTTATGTATGAAATATGGGAAGTTGCATACCCTTCTGTTGAAAGCCCATGATCCATGCGAGAAAAAAAACCATGGCTTCTCCCTAGATCAGAAATTAGAGCAAATAAACTACTCCATATATGTCGAAGTTACCCAAAAATGGTGTCATTACACCCCTTCGCCCTACAGTCTTATGCTGCCTTTGGTCACTTGGTGCAGTATTTTAACTTTGTACTTATTATCACTTTATGCTTATCACTTTTACTGAGATGATAATTCATTGAGATCTAATTTTTTAAAATTCATATCTCATTTTTAAAATCTCATTTTTGTTTTTCTGGGTTTTTGAATTATGGACATTGTTCTATTTATAGGCATGTGTCCAGCAGCAGTGAGGCAGAAACAGCATTATCCATTCCAACCCCGTCATCTTCCCAACGATCTCATAAAGACAAGAAAAAACACAAATCTCATAAAGAACACAAGCATAAGAAGCATAAACATAGCGAGCGTAAGAAATCCGAAAATGCTGAATCAAATGAGATTAAAAGAAGTGAGCGCAAAAGGCGTCATGAGAAACGCTCAAGTTCTAGCTCAAAACACAAAAGTGATAGCCATAAGAAACATAAAAAGCACAAGCATAAACATAAAGGCCACAAGAGTCGTACAAAGGATCAAGTGAATGCCAATGGAGGATCAGATGAACAGGACATTGTGAATGTTGAAGATGAAGCAGAAGGTACTCCTAATTCAACTAAACGTAGAAAATTAGATGAGTCTGATATGGCTGCTCTCGAGACAGCCAAGGCAATACTTAAGGCCCAGCTTGAAGGCAAACAAGTCCAAGGAGACGCTGAAGTCATCAATGCAATGTCTATCATAGCTCAAGGGTACAAAAGTGAGTCTGAAGAAGAAGGAGAAATTGAACACGATAGCTTACGTGATAAATTCTTGGAGGAAGGGATCAACAGTTTTGCTACTAAACGGAAAGAGGACTCAAAATCGCAATCGGAGGGTGAGATAGTTGATATCAGTGAAGACATTGAAATCATTGATTTCAAACAAGGGACTAAAAAACCAGATGAAGATATTTGTATTGTTGATTCCCCAATGAGAGGGTCTTCATTATATTATGATAAGGCTAAATCAAGATCACCAAATCGCAGCTCATCTAAGCAAAAGCGAAGCAGTAGAAGTCCACAAAGAAGGCGAAGTCATTCTCCTAGGAGAGACAGACATTCAGACAATCGTTCTAGAAATAAGGAAAATAGATCACCAATTAGAAGATCAGGTATTTCTAGATCACCAAGTAAACTTAGAGGTAGAAGTCGAAGTCCAAGATCAAGGATTTCTAGATCTCCACGACCAGACCGCCTAAGTAGACGTTCTCCATCTCCAAGGTAAAGCACTCTCAAATAAATGATCATGTGTTTCCATCGAGTACTTTTAGAGAATTCTGTTTCCGAAAATTCATGAATTGGAATACATCTTGTTGGGAAAATATTGCACTTATTTATATTACATGTAGTTAAATGTCTGCTTTTTTGACTTGTATTATATCTTATGTCATGTTATATGTTACTTAACCACTTATCATTTTTGCAGACGGAGGGATGATAAAAGACCTGAAGAAAACAGACGTGATGAGCGGGATCGTCGTCCAGATTTTGATTGGCGTCGTGATGATCGTTCAAGAAGTTTACAGGATCGTTCTCGCGATGATAGACGACATGACTTTGATCGTCGTAGAGATGATAGATCCAGACGTGATAGGTCACCCAGGAGAGATCGACGGAGAAGTCGATCGAGGGATAGAAATAGGAAACCTGAAGACATATTCAAAGGGAGCCTTTCAGAAGGCCTCAAACTGCATGAATCAGATTCAGATGACAAGTAACCAGACCTTTCAATTTCAGTTTTCATTACTTTATAACTTTATGGGGAATCTCCCTAGTCCTTGACCAGGATTTCACATTTTCAAAGAATATTAAAATTTCTAAGTTGATACACTGTATATGATTTTTAAAACTTCACATGTAGATGTCATTTTGCATGCATATATATCAAACTTTTTTTCAAATATTGAATGATTGAAATGGAAGTTATTTCTACTCAAATCTTGTCCATTGCTTTTGACCAAGCCCTTTAAATGAATGTTATTCTTTATTGCAGCCTAGAGGATATAGAGTTGCCACTTGACGAAGAGGATGAAGAGGCCTTGATTGAACAACGTAGGAAGCAGAGGGAAGAACTATTAATGGTAATGTTCTTAATAGAGCTTTCTGATCATCTTTTTGCTATTTACCAAAGAAGCTGGAATATGTTGGCGTATTATCTCAACAAACAAAATGATATAGGGATATAGTTGATTACGATGTCATGGCCCATACAATGTCAATGTTTGCAAACAAAAATTTGTTAAGTTACATACATATAACCTATAATTCATCAGACTTGTGAACTAAAAATAATAAGTCAAAAGTTCATTAAGAGAGCCATGTGCAACATTGAATGCCATTTTGAAAAAATATTGTAAAAGGAGGAAAAAAGTTAATTAAATGAAGAGTGCTTATTCCCTTATGCCTCCATCACCTTGCCCCTTCATTGTACACCTTTTTTCTGCTGCTTTTTCTGTTGTCACTATTTTAATTGGCTTTGACAAAATACATATTACATTTTGCCACTGACTTGAAGAAATGACTGAAACATAGCCAGTTTAATTAGGCACCAATATTACGAAAAATGCCCCAAAATTAAATACACCAAATTAATGACAAATGGAAAATTCAGTAATTTTTATTTTTTCAGAAATTAGCTCCCAAGGAACCTACGCCTCCTTCCACTCCTCCACCAGTTGATCCTGGACTCGACATTTTCGATAAGTCTGAAGATGCTGACAAAGCCACAGACAATGTGAAAGAAAATCAGGAGCAGGATACAAGTGAACAGGAGCAAGAATATGACAATGAGGATAACCTAAAAGAACCTGAGATCCCAGAAACAGAAAAAGAAGAGGAAGAGCCAGAAATGGATGAATCAAGTGAAGATTCAAGTGATTCATCAGAAGATTCGGCAAGTGACTCGAGCAACAGTTCTGATGACTCAGATGATAGTGAAGAAGAATCAGACTCAGATAGCGATAACGAGTTAACAAAACTAGCCAAGAGATCTGATAAAAAGATCAGCAAAGTGGAGCAAAAAGCTTACAACGATGAAGACTTAATTAATTATGCTAAAGCATTATATAAAGATGATAAACAAGGAAAGTATGAGGATGAGATAACAAGAGATAAGAGAAGTTCATCTAGAGACAAATATAGTAGAGAGAAATCTGAAGGTTCCAACAAGGCTAAATATGAAAAGGATGACAATAGAAGAGATAGAAATAAAAGAGACTCCAGTCATGAATATGAATCATTGAGAAGTAAAGATGAATCAAGCAACAAAAGGAATAAAGACAAGCGTGACTCAAGTAGAGATAGAGATAGGAACAGTAGAGATAAGTATAGAGATTCAAGGCGGGATAGACGGAATTCATCAAGGGATCGATATGATTCAAAAAGGGATCGACGAGATTCATCAAGAGATCGATATGATTCAAAAAGGGATAGATCAAGAGATCGATATGATTCAAAAAGGGATCGACGAGATTCATCGAGGGACAGATATGAATCAAACAGGGACAGACGAGATTCATCAAGGGACCGATATGATTCAAAAAGGGATAGATCAAGGGATCGATATGATTCAAAAAGGGATAGACGAGATTCAAGAGACAGATATGATTCAAAAAGGGACAAACGAGATTCATCAAGGGAAAAACATAGCTCAAGTAAGGATAGAGACTCCTCTAAACGTAAATCAAAATGGGACAATGATTCTAAAGATAGAAGTCTTTCAGTTGATAAAACACAAGAAGATCAGTCTAACGATACTGATGAGGATAAAGAACCCACAGAAAGCGAGATGAGTGTTTCTCCTGCCCCTAATTCAGATCTGAAAGCAGATGGTGCTACAAATGACATTTCTTTGGATGGATCTGATTTTGAGAAAGCAGTTCAGGAAAAGCTAGCTCAGATTCCAGATCAGAAGAGTAAGTTTTTTGTTTTATATGAATTGTTACTGCATGTAGCAACTTAAAACAATTGCTTGAAATTATTGATATTTCAGGAATTGTGTTCATTCCTCAGAATTTTTTATTACTTTTTGACATGGTGTTTTTTTAATTCTTGAGTTTTGTCAAGTTTCAGAGAATATTCACAGACCCCTCGTTGAATGGTTTTTAATATGATTTTATCTTGAATCTGATGATTGGTTGATGGACTGTAAAAGAATAGTGAATCTAATTGGCTGATGACTGTAATTTTTGAATCTGATAAGTAAAAGTAACTCTGTTTATCTAGACTGTTAAGCACAATCCAATTTTCTGACAATTTTTACAGATACGCAGCAGAAGAAAGAGAAAACAGCCACCGGAGGTTTTGATATGTTCGCTGAGGTTGATACCTTTGATGAAAATACAAATGTAAGTAAATCCTTATTGATCAATCATATTTAATTTGAAGGAAACAATTAAATTCATATAGATTAAGAGAATGTTGACTGGGAGTTTTGGAATGGCCCAACAGAGAATGTTTAACAGACAATCAATTAGTAAGGGATCATTCTTGTGTCATACTGTTGTAAAATTATTTTATTTAATATATTACGAATCAATTCATTTTGTCCTTGTGGATCTATATCTTAAAGTATTGTAACCATGGAAACCAAGATGATTTAACTCTAGAAATTAAGATGTAGGAATTGCATAAATAAAAACAAAATTGCTATGATGTTCTCCAAATTAAGGATCTTGTTTTCTAGAGTCCCAATGCATTCACTAAGTACAGAGGAGGTGCTGTGGAGAATCCTGCCTTAACTGACAATTGGGATGATTCTGACGGCTATTACAGTAAGTCTACACCCTCCCTCTCCATCATTAGCTTAATATAAGAATCCATGCATTCCACTGATTTTAGTAAATTTCATCAATGTAGATCTATCTTTGTTACTTTTACTTAATAATCTGACACCACATTTGATTGAATTGCAATTTAGTAAAACACTCCCTTTCCACTCCTTCATAAGGCCTGAATAAAGGTAACTATTACACTTGAATATCCATGGATTGGCATATCCAAGATATTCAATATTTTTCAAGTATTTGCACACTAATTTATCAGAAATTAAATGCAAAATGATGAACAAAACAACTCATTTATTTCAGGGGTTCGTATTGGAGAGGTTTTGGATAAACGCTACACTGTATTTGGTTTTACTGGTCAAGGGGTCTTCAGTAACGTTGTACGTGTCAGAGATCAAGCGAGAGGCAACTTGGACTGTGCCATTAAGATCATCAGGAATAATGAAATGATGTAAGTATACCGTTTACATTTGTTTGACTTACCTTCTTAAAGATGCACCATCTCCTAGGTTACTCCCCCAGACAATCAGTGAAGTCCCATTATAATTGCTCATATAACATCTTACATACTGTAGATATATTTTGAGACCAACTTATGGTCACAGTAACAACTATCTGCCAGGGTTGAACGCAGTGAGCTTTCTGTCATATTTGGTTACATGATTTGAACCCAGACAGTTTTTTATCCTACCCTGTGCTATATTGTGATCAGTTTGCCGGGTGGGCACTGGGCAGTCTGCTGGGTGGGTGGCCATCATGATAAATCTTGTCTACAGGTTTCCAGCCAAACCATTTGAGGGATTCATTGAATAGTTTATTGGGTTGGTTATATAATACAAAACTCAGAACTTTTATTCGACTTTCAGTTCTTGAACATGGGCTCCAAACAGTTGTCAAGTTGGAAATTTTCTTGGTCCTTGTTCATATTTTCAGTTTCTTTGATATAGACTGCTTCTTAATCTACCTATCTTGTCCTGTCTATTACTGACATTATCTAGCACTGTTACATTGTCCCAATCTATAGTACAGTTGCTGAAGCACACATGTGTTTTGAAGGCTGAGCTGTACCATTTGGATTTGGATGCGGACTTTGTATTGGTATTCTTTTCAGCATCTGACTAATGTTCTTTGATTCTAACTTCAAGTTTTCTAGCAGTTTCCCCTACATATGACTTTGGGCAACTCTTATGTGGTATCTTATAAATAACTTGTGACTTTTGTAAGTTTTCAATGTTATCATTGGGGTGTACTAAAATTAAAGTTTGAATGTTATATGTTATTTCAGGCAGAAGACTGGCATGAAGGAGCTAGAATACTTCAAGATTGAATGTTATGTTATTTCAGGCAGAAGACTGGCATGAAGGAGCTAGAATACTTCAAGATTGAATGTTATGTTATTTCAGGCAGAAGACTGGCATGAAGGAGCTAGAATACTTAAAGATTGAATGTTCTCTTATTTCAGGCAGAAGACTGACATGAAGGAGCTAGAATACTTCAAGATTGAATGTTATGTTATTTCAGGCAGAAGACTGGCATGAAGGAGCTAGAATACTTCAAGATTGAATGTTCTGTTATTTCAGGCAGAAGACTGACATGAAGGAGCTAGAATACTTCAAGATTGAATGTTCTGTTATTGCAGGCAGAAGACTGGCATGAAGGAGCTAGAATACTTAAATACTGTAAAAGATTGAATGTTATGTTATTTCAGGCAGAAGACTGGCATGAAGCAGCTAGAATACTTCAAGATTGAATGTTATGTTATTTCAGGCAGAAGACTGGCATGAAGGAGCTAGAATACTTCAAGATTGAATGTTATGTTATTTCAGGCAGAAGACTGGCATGAAGGAGCTAGAATACTTAAATACTGTAAAAGATTGAATGTTATGTTATTTCAGGCAGAAGACTGGCATGAAGGAGCTAGAATACTTAAAGATTGAATGTTCTGTTATTTCAGGCAGAAGACTGGCATGAAGGAGCTAGAATTCTTAAAGATTGAATGTTATGTTATTTCAGGCAAAAGACTGGCATGAAGGAGCTAGAATACTTAAAGATTGAATGTTATGTTATTTCAGGCAGAAGACTGGCATGTAGGAGCTAGAATACTTAAATACTGTAAAAGATTGAATGTTATGTTATTTCAGGCAGAAGACTGGCATAAAGGAGCTAGAATACTTAAAGATTGAATGTTATGTTATTTCAGGCAGAAGACTGGCATGAAGGAGCTAGAATACTTAAAGATTGAATGTTATGTTATTTCAGGCAGAAGACTGGCATGAAGGAGCTAGAATACTTAAAGATTGAATGTTATGTTATTTCAGGTAGAAGACTGGCATGAAGGAGCTAGAATACTTAAAGATTGAATGTTCTGTTATTTCAGGCAGAAGACTAAAGAGCTTGAACACTTAAAGATTGAATGTTATATGTTATTTCAGGCAGAAGACTGGCATGAAGGAGCTAGAATACCTAAGGAAGCTTAATGATGCCGACCCTGATGACAAGTTCCACTGTGTTAGACTCTACAGACATTTCTACCATAAAAACCATCTCTGTCTCGTCTTTGAAACACTCAGGTAACAAATTGTTAAATGATATATTTTAATCTTTACTGGTATTGTGGGTACAAAGGTACAAAATATGATATATAACTGCTTTCTGGTCTCTTTCCTCAAGAACAAAGATTGTAAATCAAAGTATTACTTACTTTTTTTGAATTTCTTTTAAAACTCTGTTTTACTCTTATTTTCATGTAAAAATTATGTATTTTGATTAGAACTGATTTTTGAATTGTAGTATGAACCTCCGGGAAGTGTTAAAGAAGTATGGTCGTAATATAGGACTCCATGTAAAAGCAGTGAGGTCATACACCCAACAACTATTGCTGTCTCTGAAGCTGATGAAGCGTTGTAGTATTTTACATGCAGATATAAAGCCTGATAATGTATTGGTAAGTTCTCTTGTTTAGTTACATCTGGTTAATTTCCAGAGCTTAGGGCTGGTGTAAAATTAATCACTCAAATCCAGTGGAATATTTCTTGATAGTTATATTTTGAAACATTAAATTATAAATTTAGTTACAAAATTAAAAAGCACAATTTTAGAGCGACATCTACTTAGTGACTAGAATCATTATGTTGGAAAGTTTAATTTGCCAAATTCAAAAATGCTCATTTCCACATTGATTTCAACTTTCATACTTTGGCAAAAAAATAAAAGTGCATGTCTTTGTTTCAGATTGATAACACAAAGCTCATGATGAAGATGTGTGATTTTGGTTCAGCATCACATGTTTCTGAAAATGACATCACGCCATACCTTTGCAGTCGTTTCTACAGGGCTCCTGAGATTAGTAAGTTGTTCCATAAGTTTCAGGCAACTGGAGTTTTTATTGGATAGCACATCAAAGCCTGACAATGTTTGAATCTTAATTTTTTCATAATTTATTATTAAAATAGTTCAGAAATATACAACAAATTTGATGATTTTTCAAATTGTCAAACATACTTTGATAAGTGATCCAAAAAAAGACTTCCATATGCCAAACTTATGAAGGGAAGTGTATCTCAATTAATGAGCTCTTTAACACGTAATAGGCATAGGTAGTAATAGCCTCACAAAAACAGGTGGAAAACGTGTTAAGAGAGGCATGCAAATTTTTCATCAACGGTGTTCAAATTCGCCAAATTATATTGTTTGATATGAAAAATAAACAAAATCATACTGATTAAGTTCATTTGTAATATATTTAGACAAATAGACAGCACACATATTATGATTCTTTATTTAAACACACAACACAACACATGTTGAATTTTAGTCCTAGGTATGGGATATGAGCACAGTGCAGATCTGTGGTCAGTTGGAGTAACCATTTATGAGCTCTACACAGGCAAGATTATGTTCCCAGGCAAAACTAACAATGAGATGCTGAAATTAATGATGGACGTCAAAGGCCGTTTCCCAAATAAGATGATACGTAAAGGCGCCTTTCGGGAAAATCATTTTGACAATAACTATAATTTCTTGTATCACGAAGTGGATAAAGTTACACAGAGGGTAAGGTTTTTTTTCATCTTACTTACATATAGAAAAATAGAGGGTATGGGTTATTGTATTCTGGTGATATTACAAAGGTCACCTCTGCATGACATGTGTGGTTATTTGTTGCAAGAGCAGACTCGCGCCAAGATCTTTGCTCTTCAAAGTGCGACACTTAACACTGTGTGTCTTATTCTAGTTAATTTCTGGTTAAGTCATGTCAACATAATATCTAATAAGGATATGATTGCGGCAGCAAGTCATGATGTTGATATTTGAATTATAGATATTTATTTTAATTTATCTAGGACAAAATTACTTTGATGACAAACATTGCACCAACAAAGGACCTTCTAGCGGACTTAATCGGCAACCAGCGACTCCCTGACGATCAACTTCGTAAAGTTCAACAGCTGCGTGATCTCCTCGACAAAATCCTCATGCTGGATCCTGCAAAACGGATGTCTATTAACGATGCCCTAAAACATCCTTTCATACAGGAGAAAATCTGAATTTATAACAACTAGGGAATTTCTCTTGAATTGTGACATCACACAGACGCTGCAATTTGATTGGTCCATTAAGGAACCAGGTTTGAGTAGAACTCAATGGTACTGTGTTGACAATATACAATGCTTTATGATCAATTCTAGAGTTAAAGTAGCCAGTAATCTTAATTTTAATCTTGATACTTAAACATGCATATTATTTTAACTTTAGTAGTTTAATAGTAACGATATATTTGTACAAGCACTTGTTTAATTTGAAATGATTGCTACACTTAGCTTCTGAATTGATGATTTGGCATGTAATACATACAAACATAAATGCTTAGAGCATATAGGAAAAACAAAAACAAAACTATATAAGAACAGTAAAACCTTAAAAATAAAAAGACACTTAATGGTAAGGTAAGTGCATAACAGACAACAAGAAAAGACAATATTTGTAAAATACAACTGGAATTTTTTGTGAAAATTATGAAACATTTATTCCAATGTGCTTCAAATGTACATAACACATTTGTACTTCAATTTACAATTTGGTATTTAATATAAGTATCCTAGCTTAATTGTTTATTCTGATATTTCAGCACATTCTTAAGACTATCTTCTTTGAGCAGACTGAGCTGTTTTATTGCTGGCATACGATGAGAACAAATGACATATTTGGTTGGGTAACATGTATCGAAAAAAGTTCAATGAAATATGTTTTTGATTGTCAACATTAGAAGCACATTGAGAATACAGACATTGTAAATTAGAAGGAAATTGCGAATAAGAGAATCCTATATTCAGAAAATATGTGTTTTGAACACATGCATATGAAAATGTGCAACAATTATGTAATTTGAAACTATTTTCTTGAAGTTGAAAGTAATTTTGAAATGCCAATGTGTAACATAAGAGCTGTGTAAATATTCTGTATTCTTTCTATTTAGGTGTGACTAAGAGGTCCGTTTTAGGATTCTAAGAGGTCCAAAACTCCTTTAGACCTAGGCTATGTATGCTTACTATGGACACTACAAATAAAACGCAGCTATATATGTGGTAAATGAGTTGTTATGATTTGTATTATTCATTTGTAAAATCTGAATGATCGCAACAATATGGTTGCTAGTCAATTGCATTTGTTAAAACGATTGGGTGTAGTGGTGATAACTTACGCCCTTTAACGGGACACCGAAGCTTATTTGGATTGTTTTGAATTATGTCAAAAGACTACATCATCTGTTTTCTTCATGCATTGCATAAAAAACGAAAGGTAAGGTATGAGTAATACAGTGTCACTTTGAATGTACTCACTTGTTTACATTCAGCATTCTAACTTTAATTTTTTATTTCATCAAACAACAAACTGCCACGAGAGTTGTTTGCTGTTCCCACGACAACCTGGAGCCACTAGCTACTGTTGCCATGGTAATGATACAGCCATAGCAACGAGTGATGAAGACCTTGGATTCCAGATATCATGTAAAGTGTTATGGGTATACAACTATACATGTTCTCAATTAGCTTTCCTTTTTGAATAGTATACTTTAGCTTCAATGATTTGTGTTATCTAATGTCTCTTTCACTGGTGATCCACTCGATTACGCTGGTTACCGAAACGGTTCGTTTTCAACAAAATGTTGGAACATCGAAGGTACGATTTTTCTTTTTCCTTATTTCACACGTTGTAGGCAGAATTCCCACTACAGTAACAGTTTTTCGAAAAACAGTTAAGATCTGCACTTTTAACCCAAACCGTTTATGTAACTTAAGTGAGGAATTAAATCGACGATTCTGTTGTCTTCTGAGCTATTTTTTTCGCAAACTTGTACATTTTCTAAAACATATGATGCTGATACATGTTTGTGAGAAAAAACGTCATGGGGATTCTGCCTACAACGCGTGAAATAAGGAAAAAAGAAAAATCGTACCTTTGACGTTCCGACATTCTGTTACCAAAACGAACCGTTTCGGTAACCAGCGTAATCGAGCGGATCACCAGTGTCTTTGATTTGAATATTTTTTTTCACAGCAGTTTGGCTTTTAATCGAGATAATTGAATCAAGGTTCTGGTCACCTGGTGAGCCCAAAATTTTGCACAATAAGAGTTGATCTTGTGTAATTTTGGGACCCTGGTGACCAAAACCAAAACATTTTTTCTAGAAATCACACATTGAATACAGATATTTAAAGAAAACGATTTGGTGAATTTAACTGTCTGGAACCCAGCATGACATCAACTTACCCAATCATCTTTGGAACACATCCTTAGTCTCTAGCTTTGTCATGTATCCTTTCTTGTTTTGCGTATTTTGAGAGTAAAAAATGACTCATGGCTTAGTCTGTGTAAGCCCTTATAAGCCTAACATTGTCATATCTAATGCAAGTGACCACTCTATGTAAAGAGGGAAACATGACACAATGGGATTGTGATTACTTCCAACATGCTTGGACCAACAGTTTTGCTTGGACCATTGGTGACCACAAAATATGAGATATACCCTGTTTGAGTTTTAAAAAATGAATTAATATAATGATACCGCTGCTTTCAGTCCGCAACTAATTCTGTAGTGAAGTTATATTCCTCACAATGTCAACTTGAGGGGAAGCATGACTCGTAAGAGACATAATACAAAACCAGTGCATCGTTTACATTGTTGAAAAAACAGTAATATTTTTTCAAAACTTGGCACAGATGTTTGAACGCAAAACATGCACACAAAGAGCAAGATTGACAATGATACAAATAGACGTCGGCATAAAGAAGAAATCTTATTCATACCACGTTCATTGCACAAAGTGGACATCATTTCTGTATTTAAATACATGACATATGTATTGAAGGGTGATAAACTTAGAACTGGACTAGTACACATATATTGATAGTGATACCATTGAACCCCTTGTGCCTAATATATCTATGGTGATATAGCCCCCTTGTACTGTACTGACCCCCCTTTTACTTATAGAATTGATGCTGATAAATGAGTCCCTTGTGTCTAATATATGGTGATAAATCTTGTATTTATTGTTAAGAAGCCTTTAGACCCATTTTGATTAAAATATTGATGATTATAAACTTAGATCCTCTTGTATTTAGAACACTTGTCTTTAGACCCATTTTGCTTATGATATTAATGCAGACTTCTTGCAGTTAGTACATATACCGGGCGTCCATAAATTCTCTTTACATTTTACATTGACAATTGTAATTGTATACAGATTTTATAGACACCCTGTATATTACTAATGATGATCAATTAGAGCTTCTCTGCTCCTTTTACCTAAAATATTGATGGTCACAATGAATTAAGCCCTCGGTGCAAAACTTGAGCAAATTCTAGATGATTTTCCTTTTGTTCTAGGTGCAGCTTTGTGGAGGATAGGAGAGACAGAGCAACAGAATATAAGGTTATAAAGCAGAACAGTATTTAACCTTGTTTGTTATGAGTTTAGTAATTACTAGGTGCAGGTCTTTTGTACCATTCTGGTGTTCTTTTGAGAGTGAAGAACTCATTGTTGATAGATTGAAAAGAATACAAGGTGTTAAGGCAGGCTAGAGTAAATACATTAAATGTTTAGCATATACAAGGGGCGATCCATATATTCTGATAAAAATGCTCTCATTTTGTGATTTTTTCACATATCCCTCTTATTTTTTCAGAAAATGTAGATTATGTAATTACACATACAATGCTAAAATATTATAGCTATATCTTAAATTATCATTGAGATAAGGTTGCCATGGTAACCTGTATTAAGGGTAGGCAGGTCAATTAAATTATAACATATAAATATCATAATAACTTGTTATTTTAATTATTTTAAAGCATGCAGAATTCATGCATTTTTTCTAAAAAGGTTTGGTATTGTTACTCATTGTTTGTTGCTAAACAAATGTTGTATATGTGCTCACTATAACATCACAAATAATCACAATACCATTGTAGGACAGAATGGGCCAATTGACATTACATGTTATGAGACACACCAAAAATAAAATTGTCAGATGAAGTTAATGTGGCTGATGCAGAGAGTGACATTAATGGATACATTAGGGAATACCATTAGATTTGATTTTCTTTCAAGAATGAGTAAGAGGACACTGTCAGAGACATACCTGGACTCATTAAGTGCATGGGCAAGGTGTTATATCTGCATAAAGAATCTATAGGTAGTATCGTAAAGAGGAAGGCATGGTCACTGTTGAAGATCATCCACAATCTGGTTGCAAGAGGAGCTTGCGGACAGAGAATAACACTACCATAAATTGAGATGTTACTTATGAAAAGATAGCTATCCCACTGTATAAATTAGCAAACAAGGGCAACAGGGGTATGGAACACATCAATGATAGTTGGCAATGACTGGAAGATCTGCTTAAAATAGGTACCGAGGAATGATTAAATTAACATATTTATCTATTTTAGACGTTATTATTTAACTGACCTGCCTACCCTAAATACAGGTTACCATGGCAACCTTATTTCATAATTATTTTCAGATATAGCTAAAATATTTTAGCATCGTATGTGTAATTACATAATCTACATGTTCTGAAAAAATGAAAGGGATATGTGAAAAAATCACAAAATGAGAGCATTTTTATCAGAATATATGGATCGCCCCTTGTATGTTATCTCAGTTATGAGAATGACAAAATAATTATCCATTTATCCCTAAGATGGATTAAAGAATATGTTTAACATAGAATATGGTCTAGCCTTGTCAATAAAATATGATAATATTCTGACATAGGCTGATTTTTCCAAAATGGTAGAGTGGTAAGTGCATATGTACAAGGTGGAGATTTAGTATCGTGAATACGTAGTGATGGAAATCTAGGATGTAAGGATCACACATGTGATTTAATTATATAAAGTTCCAATGAAAACCTGGCAAAGATCTGTATTAAAGTTCTCATATTGTGAACGTTACTCTTGAAAAATGGAGCTATACTACTATCTGATAAGTGAGGCCATCATTATTTGAATATTTCATATTGTTAGTGGTATTACATAAACACTGAAAATGAATATTCTGTATGCCAATTGAATTGTATTCCTCACTTTAGAAAACTGGGTCATCTAGAATGTTAACAGGCCAGTCATGACTCCTTGTTTATGAAGTTCTCCAAAAGGGATTCAGGATTTATTGGAAATGTCTTTTGTTATTTCTTGTTTTTGCATCTGAGTTTATTTTTTATGTTCTTATTGCAGGTAGGGAAACGCTTCTATGTGATAGTGAGTCCAATTGTTCAATGTAGCAAGAGAATTTCTAGTATAAACCAGATGCACCTACCAAAGTCTGGCGAGGAAATACAATGAAAACATATATGAAACAGTGGCTTTGAGGAACAAGTTCGTGTGAAGAAAAGAAACAGTGAAATTGTGCATTTAAGTATATTAAAATGCGAATGATTACTCAAGAATAAGGGACATAGACAGTATTCTGTGTTCATGTGTTAATACCTATTTGGATTGTTCACTGGAGTAAGAGTACTTATAGAACCCAGAATAACTCACAAAAATTTGGATTTGATTTTTCTTAAAAACTAAGTTTTGGCCTAGTTCATGTTTTTGGCGTTTAATCACAAGTTTTTTAAATTGGCAATTTTTGGCATCTTAGAGTTATTTTGGGGTCATCAGACAATTTAATAATTTAATGTAAATTATTTGAATATTTGTTAAATAGTAAGAAAACTCAAACTAATCCTATATAAATAGTTCTCTGGCAATGATCAGTAAAAATGTAACTTTTTGCAAACAATATACTGTCCATGTCAGTTATTATATTCAGAAATTTCTCTAGTTTGTGAAAGAGGGTTTAATTGATCTTATTGTGACCGGCATGGACCATTTTGGTAATAATATTACTGTAATGGTCATCTCCCAGTTTGTGAACATTGTGAGTAATATTACTACCTGATTGGTCCCTGCCAGTCTAAATATGATTGCAAAAGTATACTGGGAGCCAATCATTCTTTGCAGATTTTTGAGAAAAAATGTTGGTAACATGGCGTTACAATTACCAATGGCACTGAATTAGAAAAAGAAGCATTATAAAAATGAGTCCATTAAACCTAAAAAATGAGGAATCACAGGTCCTAAATATATGGAAAATTCATTCATATTTTATATGCAAAACTTGAATATTTCAGATTAATAGATCTATGTGCAGTAAACTTGTGGTTTCTTATAATTTGGATGATTCTAAAATCATTCAAAAATAACATGCCTGAGATGCATCGAAATAGCGCCACATATTTGGTAGCCAAATTTTCATTTTCTCTGCCTCAGACAGTACCTTTTCAATAGACCGAAATATTGTACACAAATGTTACCAAGTGGCGGGATTTTGTCATGTAAATACCTGTATCTGTAGTACAGTATATACACTCTATATTTGTAATACATATATTTATAAACACATTGAATAGTTTTTAGTGTTGATTTGTGTGAATCCTGGAACTGAACAAAACACTGTTTATCCTTCCATTAACAATGTACTGTATGATAGCCTTAAAATTCAACATTAGTTCGGATATCACTTGATATACGTATGTTGATCAGAGAGAAACTTCCTCCACTTTGTTGAATGGGTTATATGGATATGTTAAAGTGACTGTCTTGGAGAATGGCCCTCTATGGTGGAGTTCCTTAGGGATATCTGCTGGCAGTGGTCTGAAAGTAGAGGTAATAAGATCATAAGAAGCTTTGAGAACACTGCAGAGGACCGGTTTCTAATTTGGTTGCCAAACTTTTGGAAGGGGTGTAACCATACGTTTTTGTCCGATATAAAGATGGCACAATGGTAGAATTCTATAAACATCTAAACACAGATTGATATATCTTATTTAGAAATGAAAGTATTCCATTGCCCTATACCCTATGGGTGTAATTGTACTAACTTGATGATGAAAGATTTTGATTTATTTTATAAATTGTTCACTTATGCAATTTTTTGATATGCTGTTCAACATTAAAAAATGGCAGCAATCGGGAGAAAGCGCAACATTTTGGAATCACTAACAATCTTTGATAAAAAAGGCAATTTGTTCATTATCATCTCAAATATAATACCTACCATCTTTTAAAAAATGTGAGAATGGCTTCTCGAATATGGAAGTTAATGAACATTTAAAATGTAGAAATTCATTGGCTGTATAGTTCTAAACGAAATGCTCATTAAAGATAAGGTTACTGTAAAATGTTGTAAAATGGCATCCAAAAAAGCTACCCTCAAATCATCTCTCCCCAAAGATGCAATGAAAATCTCTTACCTGTATGAAGCTTTCATGACACTACATCTCCTTGGATCTTCATTCTTTTCTATGGGACCATCTACTGGTGCACGTGGCTTGAACCCTGCATAGCCGGGGGTTGGCCTTACGCTGTAACGTTATTAAAGCTACACGGCATTAACATGGAAAATGTCACCACAGGTGCCGAACACTATCCAGAAAAAGTTGGAGACTACAACAATATGAGTCATGACACCACTTCTTGTGTGTAAATTGAGCTGTATGCAGCATGGTCGTGAGGGGTCTCGCTACTCACTTCAATATTCTAAATATGAGTAATAGAAGTGGTGATGATACAAAATGTTACAGCTCGGGACGTTTGTATATTTGTGAAAACTTTGTACCGATCTTTGTTACATGCTAAATTTCGACAGGACTTTGAATACCACATCAATTTTTATCCATTACAAATATGTTACTTTCATGAGAGAATACCGTTTGAATATGTATACTCACTATGTCCCTTTAACCTGCTTGCTTTCCACCAACTGTTTCAGCTTGTCCGATATCGGCATGAGTTTCTCCTCGGCCTGTCTAACCATAAATTATTAACAATGTATATCTAAATGGTTTAAATATTTTAAGATAAAACAAAATAGCTTGATCTGACGACCTTTGAAATCAAGTGAACACCGCATCTGATCACCGGTCGTTACATTACTACCCTTTTAAAACGGGTTCGACCCAAACTTAAATAATGTGTCATAAACAGAGGTTTTGATGTCTTAACATTGGTTCTTTATTTAAAGAGACAACAAGTCAAAGGATATATGGTAGATGACATCGTTGCCATTTGTGGTTGTAACATTCCTTATATACCGGTACCTTGATGATTTTGTTATTTGAACGACAAAAATTGAATTCTATTATGAGGATTGACAGTGTTGGGTGTCAGAGTCAAGATTGCCATGATCTGTCACGAATGCCATTATGATTCTTCGAAGTTGTCTATTTAACGATTAAAATGTTTTGCCATGTGTGAAAAGGATTTCGCACAAGAATGAATCATTCCATGGTATTGTACACGTACAAGTAAGCTTTCCGTTTCCAAATAGTTTGGTTTTATATCTTTAAAAGAGACCCTCTTCTATTCTATTTAATTTACTGTCTCTGACATGAGCTAGAGAGAAATTTAAAATTGGCGAAATCTCAGGTGTTTCTCACCTTTTCCTGAGGAGTTTAGGTTTGGATATATCTATGACGTAGCAGTTACTGGTTCTGTGCCTCGGCTGAACTCGGTCCCACTGCCAGCCAACCGTTTGCCACGTTTCTGCTTCGCGTTCATACTTCTGTGGTCGGTATTTCACCATGTCTGCGTTCTCTTCCAGCGTCGTATTTGCCGGCTCTGTCTAGAAATTAGATATTTTGATCTAAATTTACAAGAGTAAGAATGAAGTGAAATGTTGGGAAATGTCGACGAAATAGGTAACAGAGTTGGTCATTAAAAACTGCAAGAGCGACTTCACTTATAATTGGACTTTATGCTCTTCGTCTCATTCTTCTTGTTGTTGATGTACAACTAAACTTCAACGGAAGACTGAATTTGATAATAATATTATGGATGGAGGTGTTTGAAAACATCTTCCCATGAGTTTGCTTTGGTTCTAAAATCCTTCCCGTAACCGAGGGTTGTGCATATTTTTCAGATATCCCGTTTACTGATACTGGTTGATAGCAGTTGGAGACATTCGACGGTTCAAATGTCTAAAGTAAGAACGGGAACTCAGGACTCACTTATTGATCGTGTCAATACTCTAAAGCCAACTGTTCCCAAAAAACTTTCGCCATGATCGGAAGACCTGACCGTCACACTCAAGCGTCGCGAGTTTAATGTTACTGAATTCCAACTACTGTGTCGTCAGCGTTACTTTCACAGACTCTAGTTCCGAAAATAAGAGAGTCTAAAAGTCTAAAGAAATTCCAAAATTTCGGCATATACCTCTATTACTGGGAGGCATGCTTCCTCCGATGCAATCGTTGTGGTGGAGGTGTGTTCCAGCGCGTTCACCAGTGCATCGACCACGTCATTTGTCACTCTTCGTCCCTTGGAACGTCTGCTTGGTGGCCTTGGTTTCATACCCTCTGCTTTCTCGGTAAGGTCGATGGTACTCTCGACTCGGTGGGGAGGAATTGAACGAGAGATAGACTCGGAGACATCTAGAAGTCTATAAAATGATAAAACCCACATTCTCCTATGTATTGTATCATTATGCTAAAGTGTCAGTGAGTCTTTTGACAAGTGATATGGGCTTAATGATTGATGGACAAAACAATTACTTGAGAAAGGAAAGGTTTGTGAATTGTGATCCCGTGTAATTTTTAGTAACACCCATGCCAACTTTTCTCAAAGTAGTCAAAACGTTTTTAAGAATGATAGGTCTTCAACTTAGTATTACATCAAACGAGAATAAATTGGATACTTATCCGAGGGAAAGCAGAACATAAAGACAAGTAAAAGAAGCCATAGCTTTTACTCAAGTAGCGTCCTAATTAATTACGATTGCAATAAAGCCTTTGATGGGCCCTGGATTTAAGATATTTATAGCAACGTTGATAGGATTATGTGCTTTGAGTGTTTGCCGTGCCATGACCGATTATTCTACCTGGACAGTAACTACCTACTTTTCAGTTTGGATTGTATTTGTCCCCAAACCAAGGCCAGGGGCTCGCTCTATCTCGATTATTCGCTGAGGTCCTGTTGGTTCAAGTGGAAACTGGCGTGGCTGTAACCTGTTCTTGTCTTTTACGGACAGACATGGGGTCTGGTGGAACCTTCCTCTGATTGGTGGTAATCTTGATGGTTCAAACGGTTGGAAGACATCTCTGTACGTTGTCTGGTAACCAGGGTGATCGCCATACATCGGGCATATTTCTGCCCTGTCCATTTTACTTGCACACTGTAATTAACTTAAAACTGTTAACAACAACATCATCTCCGTCTAGTCCCCATGGTTACTGTTGCTGTTTTAGAAATGCCTTTATATGTGACGTAATCTATGATGTCATACGTTTATTTGGAAATAGGTCAGTCCTATTATGACGTCAGAGCACGTTGTCTTGGTTAAAAGTTTGTTTTCACAATCAAATACAAGACAGTTCATTCAAGTGATATGAACTCATTACAAAATGAATGAAGATGAACATCATATTATAACTCTTTCAATTCGAATTTTCCACATTTTTGCAATCGCTTATGAAATGAGGGCATCTTGGACTTTGAAATAGGAAGTTGCAAGCTAAAACTTTTACATATCATGCGTTAGATTAACCTCAATCCGGTGTAAAAGGGTAGGAGGTCCTATCAAATTATGGTCCTACTCTCCATTGATTTATATGGTGACCTAAACACAACTCTTTCCCCCATTATCTTATACGCAAGAAAGGGGACCATAATCCCTGGGGGACCATCATTTCTTTCACACCGGTGTTCGAATTCCTGAATCGGAAAAACGTTCCTCCGACTGACCAGAAAATACATGTAATGTAAATACAATGATATATTTTTGATATATGCTACACCCTGAAGCACACAAAATAAAATGATAAAAATGATATCACTCAAAATCATAAGATATCCTGTACATATATTATGAAATTGCATATTACGTTTGCGTTTGCCTATATATCTAAATTGTTACACACTAACAAACAATGATATTATGAATTATTTTTATTTTATTTCCTTTCACCTCATTATAAAGGTAGGCTATTATATATAAATTACATTTGTTATTACAACCTACAAATTATATTTTGATTGATATGTATAAAAAGTCCTCTATTTTACAATATTTACACGTAGTGGTGGTTATCATTGAAAATATATTCGACATACAAAATATTTACATGAAATGAATTTCGTAAATCCAGTTTTCATAACCTGTATTGCTTTAGGATTTATTATTATAGGAATATAGTTGAGTTCACGCTTTTCGTGACAAATTATAAATTCTAGCTCTAAATACACGTAAAATAAAACATTTCTCTCATTCGATACACTCATCTATTTTACATGAAATCAATTACTGTATATGCGTAAATTTATGATGACGCACGATGAGTTAACGGTTACATTAGTATACAGTTTCCCAAAATGGCGGTCGGCTTGAATAGCAGCCCCGTTTCTCCACCGTTTTTAATTTGATTTTTATCTAAGCTATTCTAGAGTGTGATGTTTTGATTTTTCAACCCGTTTTTCCACCAGGCACCACAACGTAGTAGTACCAGCTATGTGAAGCACGTGATTCCTGTAGTCCCACCGTGCTTTGACTAAGATTACATTAAACTAGTTATGTATTTACAATATCTTGCATATTTATATTTCAGGCAAGTTATTCAATATTTGCACCATTAGCCAAGTAATATATAATATAACCATATATGCTGTTTATATTTGAGCAGAGACATAATAACATGTTAAGATGTCTCTGGTTTGAGAGTTTATACGTTTAATGACGCTTTAAACACAACGTCTCCATCGAACGAGATTTTGTGAGTCCTCGAGATTTAAATACTCGTTTGATTAGTCCTTTTGCTGCATCGCCTATTGTTCGACGACTTTGCTTAGCAAGTGTCTTGTAGACATGTCTAATGTTGGATAATGTTTCCACTAAAAGTTCGTCAATGTTATGGTTCAACACGGCTGACGTTTCAATGAACTTGCACCCGTACGATTTGGCGAATTCCATTCCATCTAAAAATACAAATAAGCAATACAAATTAATTATCTTTTTATAATATTTATTTAATTTCAGATAAAATCTTTGTAAATATTATATAAATAACGACCTTCATCCTTTGTACCCCTTCGAACCAAGCAATCATAGCTTTTCCTATTTTTCTTTCACATATCGCATTCAGAAACTCACATTTTGATGAATGTCAAGTAGGCCTAATCATTTTTTTAATTTGATGTAAGTTTGTTAATCAGACATTTTGAGATAGAAGTGATTGAAAATAAAACAGTGGTTGGTGGTCCAAAATTAGTTTATAATTCATTAATTGTTTAAATTCTCTATTTGTTTAGTCTTTGTGATTTTCCTGTAAAGTGAATCTTATTTTCTCATTTTGACAATAGAAACATCAGGGACGTACCTGTATCGCTTATCTGTCTCTGTCGGACGATGTCACTTTTGTTACCCACGAGGGTAATAGCAGATTGTTTCTGAAGTACTTCTCTTAGATCTTTTACCAGGTCACAAGCTGTTGTAAAGCTCCTCCTATCGGTCACTGAATACACTACGATGTAACCATCAACGTCACAATAGTCTGCGTGATCCTGCAAAACACATAATTGTAAATTATTAAAATTGTAAATTGTAAGAAATTGTACGTTATGAAAATATGAGTCGACATAAATTACGTATATCACTTATGGACATATTCTTTAACAGTTCTTTATTTATTATCATGATCCCTATATAAAAATAAAATTATTATTAAAGACGTAGACATGATGTGTTGAAGACGTCGCCTGCTCAATCAAAACGCACATTTAGTTTTGACTATGGTTATGAAAGATAAATACTGAAAGAAATATGAATAAATGAAAGAAACAACATGGAGACAAGAGTATATCTACCACGGAATGAAACAAAGCCACTGTTACTCTTAAGTATACCACTTATCACAAGAACAACTACGGCGACTCTACTTATACTTGTCTATATTCCCTTGACACTTGAGATGACTATTTATATCATATGATTGAGTACCGCACGTTTAGAGTGACGTAAAAGCTGGTTTTAGAACTACGCCTGATTGACAAGCAAATACGACCGACAACCGTATTGTAACAAACTAGACACACGTAGGACCGGTGATTAAGAGCATGATAAGGTACAATTTAGTGAACCCGATTGAAATTAAAAATACAATGTTATACTAATTGTGTTTATAAACAAACCGATATTTGATCACTCTTAAGAATGAATTTGTAATTTTCACATTGCATTTGTGTTCTTTACTCGATATGCACTATTTGTAGATGGGAAACTTACTAAAGATAGTAGTTAGTTATAGAAATGCTATAAATGGTTCATGGTGTTATCAATCGTATATATACAGATCTAGGATGAATCCTAGATGCAGATCAACCACACGTCATAATCCTATTGAAGACGATAGCATCAATCCAAAAAGATGAATATTGGTTATCTTTGATTATTGCAATGACGTATTTGAACTCAATGTAGCCCTTCCAGGGGCCAATATACATACACTCCCCTCCACAAGATTGGCAACGGGAAATCCTTTTTGGATCGTTTATAATGTTTGGCAATTTAAAAACAAATCATCAAATTTGTCATGAATCTCGAAATATTGTAATTAAAGAACAAAATAAGTTCCAAGCATCGTCATGCATTGATATGCTAACCAATGGAAGCTTTCAGGTTCTGAACTTATGGAAGAGAAACACGTTGGTGGTGGTTATTTTTAACCTTTTTGTAGATCTCCAGATGTCTTTTACATCTTCACTTAAAATCAAACAGATGTTTCAATATTGAAAAGGTAAATTTACTTTCATAGCTGTTCGTTATTTCGCTATCTATTTTTATAACGTAATTGGGTACACTTCATGTGGTATGTCAAAATTAGTCTTTTTTGAAGAACACTTTCTGGAGCAATTGAAATAATGCTAATCAAATGAAGTGAGGTTTAAGGGAGATCTTTTCAGTTTTATATTATAGTTAGATGGATTGGCTTTCTCTAAGCTTGTTTATAATTCGGTGCAATGGGAGTATTCCGACAAATTACTATGTATACTTTGACGTAATACCATTAGCAATTACGTATAATGATTAGGTTTGTTGTAGATTCTTGTCATATTATTGCAAGATTTATCCCTGTTCGGTTATTAGGTACAAGTCAAGCTTATGATTTCACCTGCTATTGATAAAGATATTAATCATGGTACATTATGGCGTTATAATGATAATTAAAAATAAATATTATGACGTACCTCTTCTGTTTCAAGTTCGAAGAATTGCATGGACGATTCTTCTCCATTGAGTAAAACAGACACCGTCCTTACGCTAGTCTCACCTGAAAATACATAGGTAAAATAGGGTTAGAAAAATATATTGTAAGTATTCAAGTAAAACAGCGTAACAAAATATAAGGTAATATACTAATAGTAGAACTATGACATCATTATAAACTATGACATCTCGATTTCTTCTGACGCCGTGTTAATATGGGTTAGATATCATTGTCCAAGAGGGGTCGGATTTGAGGTATTTTAAGATCTTTCACTTCACCTTATATTTCATCTAATAAGGGGTCATTTAACTTGTGGAGAATATATCAGCTTTTCCTGTGTTAATTAATATAATGTGAATGCCAGCAGTGACAGAATACAATGCCTATGGTGTAACGTATGGACACTAAGGGCAATGATTACATAATAACCATAACACCTAATGACAGTTGCAACTCTTCCCATCAGTTGAGCTGATATCAAAGAATACACTATATGAATATGTCTCATAATATTAGAGCACGTTTCTAGTGAAACAGAGAGATTTGATGAGTACCAGAGTGGAACAAATAATGTAAAGTTTATTATGCAAATGTGTTCTCCAAGTCTCCCACACATTTAGTGTAGAATCTTTACAATTATCACACGATTCACTGAGCATAAGAGGATTAATGAAGATCGAGTAACATCGTATAAAACTCTCATATAAAACATGTTGATGAGTAAATATGAAGCAGTTAATAAAAACGTGCCTCATACATGGATGTACAGTACAGACTGTGGGGGCGTTTTATGAGCCACTCATCATTACAATTTTTGCAAATTATCTAATAAATCTTTTAGACAATGATTAGTAAATACGACCTTAGGATGATTTATTGTCTCGATTCATAGCTTAGTCATGTAATTGTTTCTATTCATGGGTGGTTTGGTGATTAAAAATCAATATCGAATTTTTTCCTTTGTGACCAAAATGGAGTTCGTGGCCCTGGGTCAATTATACAGTATCACTACTGAAGAGGTTCATGACTTCCCACATATTTGGCAATTGCATTTAGAAAAAGTGAAAGAGTGGTCGATACTATTTGGTTGGAAGTCAATCATGATAATCGATGTTCTCATCATCTATCACCAAGGCAGTCATGTGCTCCTGTTGTGATCCCGTCTCAACCACACACGCAATTGTTTTTAATCAAAGGGATTAATTCTGTAAGAAGCTGATGCTTGAGGATTTGGTCCAGGACCAATATTGCTGTTTATATGTATTTTGCAGAGGTGGGCGCCCTTGTAGCGCCTTTGTTTGTAATTAATTGATAAACCTTTCTCCAATTACTGTATCCAATTACTCGCATTACTGTATTCAAAATAAGCCAGATAAGTATGATATATTCAGAGTAAGCCTTATAAGTAAGATATATTGAACATTATCGGCCTCTTGTGAGGTAATAGAGGTTTGATTATGATAGAGGTTTCCAACGTCGAACTGTGCAGTTTCTTATAATATCAGGACATGTTCACTATATGGAATATGGGCAGCCTCTGTAATCAAATGTGCAATCTGACAATGCACCTCTGATGTATTTTCTGAATCAACATTGTGACCTCATGACAGATCATGTATACAAAAATCAGAACTGTCAGCTTTTTAATGGTACCAAGTTTGCCCATTGCTATGATGTGTACATATCAAACTCATTTTGAGGTCTACATTTTCCTTGTCCAATTCTTTGCAAAGCAGAGTGTCTTACAATGCTCTATGAATTATTATGACAATCTTTAGACTATGCAAGCATCACACACAATCAAATCACAATCAAACATAGACTGACTCTCATATATTCCGACTCTGGGGCCTAGTAGTATACAAAACTCTATTTCGGAGACATGAATTCAAACTCTCGCGAAGGGAGGCTCTTTAAAGTCTCAATTCTTTTTAGTCATGATATTGCACCATCATGATATACCATGACATCTCATTTCTTCTCAGCCCTGAGGTAAAACAGAAAGATGCTATGAGTATCAGAATGATATTGCACTATTGCTGCAATCAATGAAGTCAAAATAAAGATAAAAATGTCCGAGATTCAGGCAGAATCATAGGAGAGCTGTCCAAAGAGTATCATGCGAAATGCTAAATACAGATCATGAATTACTTTTCCGATAATAATTCCATTTAGAAATGCATTTACATGTATTAGTAGAGCTCTATCTTTATCATTTTATAGTGTAGCAAAGCAATTAAATAATCGATGATACATGAAAGGATGGTATATATGGTTTATGTTTGCAAAGTGGTGTCATGTGTTTGAGAATATTATATTTAGCAATTCTGACCGAGTATTCCGGACTTGGCTAACAACTTTGTCAAAGATCAATGTACAATAGGGAATATAATTTTATGTGATTAGTTCTTACCACATGTCATCCATGATTGTGTGTTTTTTCAATCATACGAAGATGACAAGGAAGCACACATTTTATAAATAATTAATCTGCCATTTATTCCAATGAAGTCAAGCCATATTTGTAACAGTTGCCATGAAAATTCTTGTCCAAATGATTTATTCGAACCACTACTCTGACATTTAGACACAAGTATTCTTTCATTCGGCACTTTTGTTCTTTCTATAAGAGAGGGATGACGTCACGTAAGAACGCTATGGGTTTCCCTCTAGGCACATTGCTTATAATGTGACTCATCCACCCAGTGTCATGGGTTGCAATATGTCCAATAATCTGTCATCTAACCTACGTCATACGAATCCCTTTGTGTTAACACATTTGGAATAAATGGGTATTGGAAGTAGGAATTATTTAACCCCAATCCTTAGAGCAATAAGGATGCTAATTGCAAAGCCTATATTTATCTGGATATAACTGATTGAAAAATTAAATGAAGTGGATAGAATTAGTTTTATTAGCACATATGTAATTCATTAGGATATATCTATCTGATAGAATAGGGATTTCTATTCTTCAAAGCATTATGCTATTTCTAGCTATTAATAATTTCTTCACTTCCAGTGCGAAATACTTATCTAACCCTGTTTACAAATATGTACCAATTATAGTTATATACTGTTAACTATATAGCATGCTTCATATATTTTTCAGAATATCGAAGAAAGCTAGGTGAATAAATAATACGGGTGATCAATATTAGCAGGGACTTGTTTATGGTCTGATCCAGTTTATTTTAATCGATAACCAAGGAAGATTGTATCCCAGAATGCAATCTCGACTTTTTCCAACAATGAAACTGTCAGAATGTTGTTATTGTCTGACATTAATCTGGATGTAAAATCATAATCAGCAAACCAAAAGATTCGAGCTTATATCTTGATCACTTGTTATGTTTTGATTATTTTGTTAAGCAATAAGGCAAAAAAACAATTCAAAGTGAACATGAAGTGAACATCACGACATCCTTCAAGATCGGATTCATATTTGGAAAATATCAAGTTGCGTCCCTGGGACCCAATCCTCCTTCATCGCTAGCAATGTTACAGGTCAATGGCAGAACCATGAATATCAGTTAATTTTGGAGTGACACGATTCAAATGTATTATCCCCATATGATAGAAATTATTCGAGCGAATCACATTTCCAATAAGTCGCTTTAGTCCTCTAGCGTATTTCAAATGATAAATCTGACCGGGAATTCTTTGATAACAGAGATGACCTTTATGGAGTATACTCATGGGACTAAAAAACAATTTGATAGACCCTGAAATAGCATGCTCCTGTACAATGATAACATAGCCATTTTATCAAATGTCACAATATACGTGTGTATGAACGAATCCAACAGATTGAATTAATTGGAAGATCATTAAGCCGATACGTTTTTTATTTATGGATAATGAATTAATAGCATTTCATCGATTCGTTATTATTTGATTAAGAACGAGTGAATATGCGGATTTATTATAGGTTTATTTTTGGAAATGTTGTAAATCAAATCCAAAGTACAAAACGTTTGTTATTGGTTTAACATTATCATCCGCATGAGATTATTGAAATTGTGGTGAATGCAAAAATCTATTTTCTATTGACTTGAGCTTCATTTAGTTTATTGTATTGTTACTTCCTAAACAACAACTCTGTGGGGGAGGTAACTGGTACAATGATCGATCAGGTCAATGTCGTAGTTAATACGCTCTTCAACCAGGTGATTTCTTCTTATAGATTCTAGTGTGTTTTCAACGTAGAGGTAAATGTTTTGATCCTGAATCTACTGGGTTAATCTGACACCTTTGCCTCTTTAAGCCGCTGACATCTCAGAGCTAATCTGACACACAGGCTTAGTCTGGCACACACGTATTTTCAATTTGACATTTCAGCAAATAGCTATAATGTCAAGAATTTAAGATAATAATTTTAGAGGGTACTACATGGGACCACGGGGTATGACGATTCTGATTCTTTTATCACTTATACACCAAATAATTGGATCGGAGAGATCAGAAATTAGAAACCCTAAGTCAGTACATCCGTTACTCGAAATGAAAACATTGTATGAGATAACCTTTACAATATCTCATTAGCTCAGTTTAATCTTTTGACTCTTAGAGACTACTGACTATATCATAGACATGTTGAAGGAGATATATCGTGATTTATCCTCCCTTCTAGCCACACAAGCGGAGTACTTGAGCATAAAAGCTGTATAGGATATCTTGACTATCTCTCTGCTCAGTGATATACGACGCTGTTGAGTTAATTTTACGACAAAACATAACAATTCCCCTTACTATGAGCGTCACTGTCAACCACGAACACTACATCATAAACCCAAACGTATTCATGACTGATCACAAAGACTACCTATTTCAGAATCATTCTTTGATTGTTCCCAGAATTATTCTTTGATTGTTCGAAGTGCTGGCTCACTGAGTTCTTGATGGTTTATTAAGACCAGTTTAGAATCTTCAATAGGTGGAACTTTTGTCATAATATTCTCACCTTTATAGAGTGGAAATGCCAAAACCTCAGACTTACAAACCGAACAGCAAAGTTTATGTATTCGTTTATATTTGGTATCTGGGGCTGTTAGTAGCCTTCA